GCAGCTAGAGCACTGTGGTAACTGATCCGATCTCAGTGGCCCAGATTGGCATGCTTCTGCCAACCCGTCCTTTGTTGGCCTGTCTGCGCGCCCGCGTTCCAGTACCGACTCAGTTTGCAGCTTGGCGCCTGCATATGGACAGCAATCACAATTGCGTCTGGTGCATGATTGTGCACTGTGTACGCGGGCGCGCTGAACCGCGCACTCCGTCAGTCAGAAACCCTGACCTTGGGTTTTCGTCTCCGCGGCGAGGGGTTGCCCGATTTCTGTAGTGCCAATGCAGATTGGAGCCGAGCATGCGCGGGTCGTTTCGGCGTGGTACGAAATGGTGCGCGCGCACCGAAGCGCTAAGAGTCCGTCCGTTGATCTTCTTGCATGTCTTGAACGAAGAGTCCTTTTGAAATGTGCAGCTCCAGTTTCAAACCAGGCTAAGGAATCTCTCCATCAGCAAAGCAGACCCCGGCGAAGAAAGTGGTCTGGTCGACGTAAGAAGAGGAATTTACCGTTTGTGATTCGGTACGTACCGACAGAGTCACTCACGGACAGCATTTTGGTTCGTTTCTTAAGAAGCAACGACGTGCTGGTCCTTCGGAGAATCCTTCAATGCCGGATGTCACCCAATTGCTAAGTCTCTGTATCATTTCAATCAAAGAAGAATAGAGACCTTGATTGCCAGTTCGTGACTGCCATCGCATATGCCCGGCTCAACGTTTGTCCACATTGTCAGGAGAGGTTTCTTGCATTCTTGTCTGCATTCTTGTACGCCAGTGAGCTTCCCTTAGCTTAGCCAGAGCTTATCGTGGGCCCTCCTCAAAAGAAAGTAGGTCCAGAAGAAACTTGCATTCCCGCAAGCAGAGCGAGCGCATTCACCCCCCGCATGGCGCGCCGCGGCCGCGCCGCGCTCGACAACTCGCTGCCCATCGAAGCCATCAACCGCCCAGATGGCTCAATCTGGAAGATCGAGCTGCTCCGGCAAATGAGCCAGTCAACCTGGTTCATCAGGTGGTCAATCAACGGTGTAGATGACTGTAGCGTGTTCGACCAGGAATTGAGCATAGACGATATGCGGCCCGAGTCTCTCGGCTGCTCTCAGATCGACTGCACGGAGGGTCGGCTGCGGGAGGGAGTTCACGTGGTGGCGTTTATTACTCTGCCGATGGAGCACCGAAGGGATCCCGCCGTTACGGGCAAAGTGAGTGGCTTTTTCTGGGCTCTTACATGTTATGTCACTTCAGCTGGAAAGTTTTCAATGGGCGCCAAGGTTGTTGCCTGACTCTGCTGATCTTGGGGAAAAGGCGGGACGCCAAAGGCAGATCGGACAAGCTCTGGCTTCGCCTTCTGGTTGAAAACTTTTGGCTTGTTGCAGGTCCTCTGGCGAATGTATCTTTGAGAATCTTAAGCGCCCACTTGAATTCCCAGGTGTGTTTTGATCCGAAACAACAAATGAAGGAAGATTGATGGCGGTCGTGGTGTAGGCCGTAACATGCTTCTTAGAGAAGGCTGTTCATTTGAAAGTACTGGTGTTACCTGTAAGTGGGCGCAATCTTTTCGGAGGCTCAAAAATGCTGGCGGGGATGCATCAAATCCATATGAGGACTTAAGATGACGACGACCGCGTTTCGATCGGCCATGGCAGTTGAGAAACACAGTCGTGCTTTGTACGTTAAACGGCTTCTCTTTTATCCTCCCTGATTGTTGTATCTGCCTTACTGGTTGCAGGCCTGGTACGATGGGGTCATCATTAAAGCAGAGCAAAATCCGCACATCCACCCGCTACCAAAGGGCGGGACCTACGGAGAGTGTCGATGCACCTTCTTCATTCGCTTCTCTTTACACCCTGACACCAAGAAGAGGCTCCCGCCCGCTTTTGTGATGCGGGTCTGTGGGACCAGATACCTTGCGTTCCGCTCCTTCGTGAACGGAACGGTTGCCGACGTCATCGCCGGGCGGATCGGCAGGCGGGATCTGAAGCAGTCTTGGCTGCCGGAGTTCCGGGAAGAGGTCAGCCACTACTCTGCGATGCCCTGTGTCAATCCGCCGAGGGGAAGCATCCGCCGGAATCGGGGGGTGAACCGGAACGCAGAGCCGGAAACCCCTGTTACGTGTCCAGCCCCCGAAACTCCAGCGAGAGACTCTGAGGCGAGCGCTTTTGGCTGGGGTCGAGAGGAAAGCGAGAGCATTAAAATCGGAGCGCAAGTGAAGATGCAGCCGGAGCCGGAGCCGTTGCCCGAAACGAAGAACACAGCGGAAATGGTGACCGTAAGGGGATCCCTCGACGAGGCTTTTTCCAAGGGGATGGATGAAGTCAAAAACGCAGAGGTCAATAAGCGCCTGGACGAGAGGATCGACCGTTACCTTGGAAAGGGGGCAGCGACGGAAGCCCAAGCAGACTCGCGGGAAACAGAAGCTGACGTCACGAGAATGGAAGTCCACGGTGAGGAAGGAGGACCGGATGCGGATTCTGAGTCGGATCTCGATGGGCTGCGGCGGGGAAATACAAGTGAAAACGAATCGAATGAAGAGCCTTCAGAGGCGAAGCCGAGCAGTCTGATGGGCACTGCCGAATCCGGTGTGAAGAGAAAGAAACCCGTCGAGAAGATGGACTTGCCTAAGTTGAAGCGCGTAAAAGGGGAGGATGAGAACGGGAGAACGGATTACGAAGAGAAGGCTGTGCTTTCCACTGACTGGTGGGCGACGCTCGCGCGCGCGGAGGAGCACGCGGCCGCGGGCGCGGCGCAGACCGACGGGCGGAACGAGACCCGAGAACCAACCGGTCTAAAGCCCCGGGGCAATTCTCTGCCAGGGGTATTGCCGCCGGCTTCTCCCCGGAGCACGTCTCAAGCGACAGACCTGCGTAAGCAATTACGTCAGCGAGGCTCGGACGTCGTCGTGCCAGCGGGAAAGGCGAAGCTGCTAACTGAGGGCAAAACGGAGATTGGCAAAAACGCGGGGCAAGAAAAGAAGGTGATACGAAGCGGCCGGGTGGGTGTGTCCGGAAATTCTAAACCGGGCAAAGTTTTGGGGGGCAAGGGCAAGAAGCGGCAGTTGCCGGAGCTCGTCAAAGCCAAAGAGGCTTCCGTGTGGTCCGAATCAGATGACGAGCAATCCGGACCGTCCGTTGCGGAAGGCGCTGCGATCTGGCCGTCCTGTGGTGACCGTCAGAACCCGGTCGCGACGGCGTGGGAGCAGTGCGCGCAGCTCGCGAGCGAGCGCGCGATGCGAGACGCGCTCGCGGCTGGCGCGGGCGCCCGTGAACAAAACGCGCGCGCGGTGGAGGAGATCGGCGGCCGTGACTGCGAGCGGCGGGGCCATCTTATGCGGCAGGACGCTGACGGAGTTTACTGTAGTGACTGCGGGTGTCTGGTGCGGCAGCTGACGGAAGCGGACGTCCGTCAGCCGACGCCAGCAACGGAAAGCAAGTGGTATATTGAACCGAACGACGTGGCGAAATCGAAACCAGAAAACCGCAAGAAGCGGAAACGAGTCGGAACAGGGTCAGGCGAAAACAAGAAACGCGCGGCCGCCGGGAGGAATGAGACGGAACGGCTGGAGAGCGGAACGGTTCCGTTGGTGCCAAGCGGAGAGAAGTTTCTTCGGGAGCAAATGCTGCCGCACCAGAAGGAGGCGTTCGACTTTCTGAAACGGAGGATGGTGGAAGATCCGGAGAGTGACGAGCCGGAAAGGGGCGCGATCTTGTGGCTGGCGCCTGGTCTCGGGAAGACTCTTGTGGTAAGAACTTAAAAACCCTCTCAAAGCGCTCAAACTTCACTAAAGATGGATGAATCGGATATTGGCTTCGACAGAGGTAATACGGATCACAATAGGACAAAGAATGAACGATGTATAAGTACGGGGGAGCCGAACAATCTGACGGCCAGAAATCCAATTGCTCCAAGGCATGTCCTGTCAGCATCCGTGTTCTTTATCTATCTGTCTGAAGTCGATTTCCGTCCTCAACGGCAGGCTTATCCTCTACTTTTCGAAAAAAAACTTATATTCAGTTTATTCGATTCAATGCATGTTAAGCAAGAGCATCTCTGGAAGCAAGCAGGACTTGAAGAAAGTCCTTACATAAAATTGGCGAGGACAGTATCAAAAGAACGATTCTTCCAGATTTCCCTTCCTCGCCGGATCCAAGCAAACAAAATCTTCTTGATCCCTTGGTGCATACTTAACAACTGTAGATAGATGGATAGAGTCCTTCGTTCTCGTTTGTGTGCTTCTTTCAGATTGCCAAACATTCAGTTTTCAGATTGGAAACTTGCTCTCTTTCTGAACAGCATCTCTTCGATGCAGGCACTCGCCCTGGTTGAGCACCTTTGGTGGCAAGAGCGGCTGTGGCCCCTAATCGTCACCCCAGCCGCCATCCAGGAAAACTGGGTCCTCGAAATCCAAAAGTGGTTTACCGGAAAAGCGGGGAAACCCCGCCGTCTCGAAGTCTACCGGGTCGACGAACCCAGCTTGCACCGCGCGGCCGCGCTGGAGCGGCGCGAGGACAAGCTGAGGAAGCGACCGGAATGGGCGGAACGGGCGGAAGACGGAGCGCGCGGGGGATACAACGCGCCCGCGCGCGAGGAAGAACTAGAAACGGCGGACGACGCGCAGCTCGACGAGATGCGGCTGCAGACGACGCTGACGTGGCGCGCGCGCAGGGACGGCCCGCTGCTCATAAGCTATGAGCAGCTGAGGAGGACCGCGGGCGCGCGCGCGCCCGCTACGCGCGCGCAGGCCGAGCTTGGGAGATTGCTCTTGGAAGCCCCGAACCTGGTAATCTGCGACGAAGGCCAAACGCTCCGAAATGCCGGAACGCAGACGTTCAAGGTGCTGGAGCGGTTCAAAACGGCTCGGCGGCTCATGCTAACGGGTAAGAGAATTGATCCAGATTGTAGAACTAAGTCAGGCAAATGTTCTGTGCTAATTTCTCTAGAGAAATTCAGTCGCCAAAGTGCAAACATGATCATCTGGACTGCTGAAGGCTTCATCAAGGTTGGAGGATGTCCTCGTTCACTGTAGGTTCGGGTCTCAATACTAGAAAAAAGTAGTTCAACGTTCAACTCCTACGGGCCGCCTTTGTAAACGAACGTAGAAAGGTACACATAATGCTCGATTTGATTCTGATGGTAAGGGCTTTCGTCATCGATTCATCCACTTCGACTGACTCTTAGTTTGACAGATATCACGCGAGATAGAATTCCATATAATCTGTTCGGTACGTTCTAGATTGAACCTGTCTCTTCCATTCATCACACAGTTTTGATTGGCTATAAATACTGCCTTGAAGAGTGAAATTTAAACTCAATCCAGCTCATGGCAATGATTCGTGCCTCCAGGAACCCTGTTCAACAACAACTTCGAGGAGCTCTCCAACCTTGCGCGCTTCGTGTGCGCGCGCGACGTCCTCAAATGGGCGAGTCGCCAGCCTCTTCTACAGACGTCCGAGTCGAAGACGCCAAAAGCAAAGCGTTCTGTCCAAAGCAGAAAGCCCTCGAAAACAGCCAAACTGCAAACCGACGCCAGGAGAAGACCAACTAGAGCGACACCTTATCAAGCGGGGGCCCTGGGGTCGGCAGCACCGCAGCCTGCCGCAGCTTCCGCTGGGGAGGGTTCCGCCCCAAGCGTTCCGGCGGGCCGCCCAGAAGCGGAACGGTCAGATGCAGAGGGACCGGCTACCGGTGAGCGGTCGGCAGCGTCGCCCAGAAACCTTTTCGTTCCCAATTCCGGTCCGTTGGTTCCGGCCAAAGAAGCGGAGTTGGAAGAGTCAGTCGTAAAGTACATGTTCCTGAAGCTCATTGGCGGGCCCATCGAGCGCTACGTATGTGGGCGGGACCGGAATGCGCAACTGAGAACGGAAGCGGAAGCAGCTTTGAAGGAGCTCACGGGGCTCATGCAGCCGTTCCTGTTTTACGGTGGGGAGGAATCCCTGTATGGCGGGCTCGGAATTCCGGGGCGGAACGACTACGTGATCCGGCTCAAGATGAATGGAAAGGGGCGCGAACTGCACGATTGTTTTGTCGAAAAGGCGATCGGCCGGGGAACGTACGAGCAGCGGATTGCGAACAATCGCAGCCGTCGGATCGGGGAAACGTGTCAAGACGAGCGCGCAGCGTATGACGCGTGTGCGAAGAAAAGGCGTGGTGGGCAGTCGAGAAAGCGCAAGGTTAAAACTCTGGAAGAGCTGTACTGGGAAGGAAGCTCGGAAGTTTTGGGGGAAGATTCGGAGGAGTCCGAAGAAGAGGAGCGAGGCGAAGAAGAGGAGCGGGGTGGATACGCCCCGAAGGTAGGAAGAGGCGCGATCGGTCAGGAGCAGGATCTGTCGCACTTGTGCTGCCACCCGGCCGCATACTTCAGGAAAGCGGACGGCAAGCGGACGGCTCTGGCGCCAGAGATTGCGAGGTAAGGATCCGGGTTGAGTTCTTAACCTACGAAAGGACATTCTGGGTTCGTTCGAGGAAGGCTAGATCCAACATCAGGGACAGGCAACATTGACGAGAAACAGAAGCGATCAGAGCGGGTCGAACCGTCGGATCTCTTGATTCCCGTCTTTTGTGCAGTTTTGGCTCCTGTGGTAACATCTAAGCGTTGATCTGCCTGTACGCTTCATTTTTAACTCCATTCGAGGTTAGGACACGTCTCTGCCCCATTTCAGCTTGTTTTCCCAGCTTGGATCGAGCTCTGTTTCCTTAGTGTCTGGTTGCTGGTCCGTACATACTCACGCTTCCCTTACCGCGCAGGTTTCGGTCCTGTTTCGCGGGCCCAGTAGAGGCCGCCGACAGCCCGAAGCTGCAGCTGGTAATCGACCTCCTGAGGGCCTGCAAGGCCTCCGGCGAGAAGACACTGGTGTTCAGCTTTTATACAAAGCCGCTCGAAGCTTTCATCGATGGGGTCAAGCAGGCGCTCGAGTGGGGCGACCGAGATATGGCCTATATTCACGGATACGTGCCCTTCAAAGAGAGGATGAAACTGTGAGCATCAAGCTTTGACCTTCTTTTCTGACGCAATACGTCTTCAGATTCTTCATTCGTTTTCAGGCCTCGCCTTCTGCGGTAGCAAAGCGTACAGGGTCAAATTTGATCTTAAAAATGGTTACATCATGGACTTTGATCTCGCGCTGAAGACAGGGTTGAGCGCATACTTATCTTTTAGGACATTTAGGTCTGAGAGCGCTTCCTCACGGCAGAGGATAATCTTGACCTACAAGGTCTGCCAAAACTCGAAACTTTCTCTAGAGTTTCAACGAGTACTTGCTTGGTCTAATGCAGATCTAAATATGCGAGGAGGCCTCAGTCAGGAAGCGTGCATTGCGCCCTGTTTTTGAACGCCTGTTCTTTAAACTGACGTATCCCTGTTCGTGACCCCGAAAGCTGCAAGTCAGGAGACGTCCCTGGTCATTTCGCCACTGCAAAGAACACCTAAAACTCCAAGCTGTTGCATCTCAAAGTATCCGCAGGCTCTGTCTTTCTGGTTTCCATTGTTGTGCCTGAGCCGCTTACAGAATCTCCTACTCACGCATCTTCTACCACTATATCCGGTGCTCGAGCACAGGAAGAAAACAGTCTTAACCAAGCTAGGTTTGTGTTTGGTTAAGTGCCCTTCTATCAAGGAAAAGTGGTTCAGTTTTGGTCAATGCCCTCCCAAACATCGTGATATCAGTACAAAAGCTGATTGTGACATACCCCTTCTTGGCAGCGTCGAAAGCTTCCAGTCAGGGGACGCTAGTCCCCGGGTGCTCTTTGCGACTCTCGGGGCGTGTGGCCTTGGTCTGAATTTGCAGGCGGCGACTCGGGTGGTCCTGCTGGATCCTTCGTGGAATCCCAAACTGCCTGAACAGGTACGTTCGTCAATCTCTGCTTTTCTCTCAGAACACCATTTATTCGTAAGATTTCAGGTACGTTCATCATCAATCTCTGCTTTTCTCTCAGAACACCGTTAGATTCATAAAACTTGTGGTACGTTCGTGAACCTTTGCTTTTCTCTCAGACACCATTTATTTAGAAAGCTGGTGCGCCCTGTTTCGGACGAATTCGATTTTGGATGGGCAAAGCCAAAAGTTGGCTTTGGACTCGGTCGCTGTAGCGCGTCGGCCCTTCGCCGTCGCGTTAAGTACCCTCACGAGCTGCGCGAGGTTTGTGACACGCGCGCTCTTCAGAGAATTGCATAAGTGTAAGGAAACAACTACAGCCGTACAGCCGTAACAACAAAGCGATTTTGATCATCTGGATAGCTTCTTCTCCAGGACGCAGAGTGAGCATGGACGTTTACTAATTTAGGTAGGATATGGTCATGGCCCGGCGAACGGGTGGGGTTAGTTTGGGGGTTAGGGTGGATACGGGTGCGGAGCGGGTGTATTTGTCAATCTAGGTTGTTAAGTTTGTTTTTCCCCGGGGATTGTTGATATCCTACCTAGAAACTATCATACCTAGACTATAGGAGTCTAGAGTGAGCAACCCTCTCCTCACGAGGAAATTTCTCCGTCCAGGCTTTCCACCGGGCCTTCCGCATCGGTCAAAAGCGCCCGGTGACCACCTACCGGTTGGTCTGCGAGAACACTTACGAAGACCGGGCAATCCACCGGGCGTCGCTAGAGAAGGATTGCCTGGGGAGCGTCATCGCCCGGGCCTTCGAGAGGTGCGCGCGCGCGGAGAAGGCGGTCGCGAGCGCGGGGGCACAAGCCGCGCGCGCGGAGAAAGCGGGTGCGAGCGCAGGCGCACAGGGCGCGCGCGAGGACGCGCGCATCGAGGAAGGCTGTGGGCTCGGTGAATGTGCCCCGGGAAAGACGGGGAGTCTGTTCGGTGGGGAGAACTGGGAGCAGCCGGGGGAAGCGGGCGGCGGGTTAGGGGATGGGATAACCGATCCTTTTCTGATGGCCTTCCTGGAGAAGTGGGGTGGGGAGCTTGTAGAAGAAGCGTGTGAATATAGGAAATTGTTATCTGACCAGGCCGGGTTATAGAGTGATCCTGATTGCCACTGATCGTAACGTCACAGTAGGTCCCGTCAGACGATCCGGGTCCACCAAAGAACAGGACGACCTGTGAGGCAGATCACTGTATTTGACTTGGCAATATCGTGTGGAGCGTGCGTGTCTTAGAAGATACGATATGGTACACAGCTAGCTCTACTCGATCGACGTTTTCAAGATACGCATCTTTAATAAAAACTGGACGGTCACGTGGTCCGACACAGTCCTCCCAAATTGTCTGCATGGTATATTTCCAGCTACCGTAGCTGATGGCAAACACGTGACGTGATGACGACGAATTTATAGGGCCTTTTGTGTTAACATATCATCTTAGCGGATGAAAATTAACCCTCTTTTGCGGATGCACCATTCGCATAAGCCATACGGTGCTAATATTATATTGCGTACTAAGCCAGGTTGCCTAGGCGCATGCTGGAAACTAGTTTATTCAATCCGCCCCAGACCGGCATGATGTAGGCTCAATTTCTTCAGTGGCTGACGGTGTGTAGCAAGCTAGAGAGATAGCGACATATGTGCAGCCCACACGGTCTTCGGACATCTCGGCCGCGCTCTGTCTCGAACTGGACGCCGCCAATTGAGCAGCTGAAGGCAACAACCAATCAATCCAATTTCGCGAAGTAGATCATGCAGTATACAGCGAGACCATCAACCCGAGGCTATAGAGGTTCTATATTAGAAACCCGAAATAATAACATCCTTTCGTGGATTTCTCCTGAAGCAAGAGTCTCGACCGTTACCAGATCCGTTTGGAATCTGGTCAACCAGCAGTGGTTCAGTCACTGGCTGGGACCAGCCGGTCCGATCCATGCCAAATGTTGGCAAGTCTTTCCCGACAATTAAACCTTCCGAAATGATCAACAAAATCATGGTTTTGATCTCGTCATCCCAGCGTTAATCGCTTCCGTAAGGCAAAGAGTTCCTCAACAGAAGACTGATGGCAACCCCTCTTTCTAACGCTCGATCGTCCTTGCCCAGTAACACCATCCCGCTACACTAACTCCAATCTAACCAGAACGTTTCAAAGGCTTAATCCGCTAAAACTTGGCCGCCCGCCCATCTCGTCCCCCCCTGCCTCTCCCACTCCGACCGTCCCTTCCCCCCCCTCTGCCCCTACCACTAAACCCGCCTCCTCTTCCCCCCCCTCCGGGCTGCCCATGCAACAGCGGCACAACAGGGGCGGGGTAACCCCCTGGGCCGATTTCGACGTCGTATTTGTCCTGCTCTTCCCGAGTGAGGGTGTTCGGCGCGTGGCGCTTGTAAGTCGGAAGCTTCGCGATCTCCGGCAGCCAGTAGGCGACGTAAGCGCCCTCTGAGTCGTAGTTCTGAGCCTGCGAGATTACAAACAAGACAGCCGTTGCATCAAGGCTGCGAGATGGTGCGTTGAGACGGTCTCCCCAGTCGCTTAGGCTAACTAAACGGTCGTTGATGACGGCTGACTTGAATTGGTTGGGATTGTAAGCAATATCGTTTGCCGAACGGCAAAAGACTTTTGCGCAGCACCCACGTGGCGAAACCCCGGTGCCACGTGGGGGAGAAGTTTGCCCTGGCGAGAATAACCAAACTTTACGATTGCTTTGAAACCTGGTTCTCGAACTGGGGTCCGCTGATGTCCTCAGGCATTCCATGGCGGTCTTGCAAGTTCGTGTGCCGCCTTATTTCCCGACTTTCGCGGTCTGACTGGAGAATCTACCAGCGCCCACCTGCTTGGGTATGCTGAAGTAGCGGTCCTTCCGCGCCTTCGATCAAGGACGTGCTTAGGTCTGTCAAATTCTCAGGCACTCATAACAGTCTTGCGCGTCAATAAAAAAACCTGCCAGATTCAGAGCCTTTCGCCGTCATACTTTGATCCCTACGAGCGCTTACCTGCTTGGGAATGCTGAAGTATCGGTCCTCCCGGGGGTCATTCCCGACCCCCGCGCCGTAGGTCCAGTTGCCGTAGTTGGAGCACGGGTCGTAGTCCAGCAGGCACGTCTCGAACCACTCCGCGCCGAGCCGCCAGTCTAGTTTCATGTCGCGCGTCAGGAACGAGCACACAATCTGCGCGGAATGGGCTCTGGTTGTAAGACTCCATGGTTTATGACTCCAGTTTTATTCAAGGGGAATTCAACCCAGTTGAAACTAGTTTCTGATAAACGCAGGTATCGATCAGCCCTTCGCCGCCAGTCTAGCTTCATGTCGCGCGTCACTGCTTCGGTTACACCCCCGAAGATAGGCGGGTCTGTATTTAATGACATATTACAGAAGCGAGGAATGGTCAACCCTGTGCCGCCAGTCCAACTTCAGCGCGCGCCAGAGACGGGACAGGACATGGAAAAGGGTGTGAGACCTCCAAAATTGCATACTTGAAAGAGCGCAAAGGCCTCCCTCGATCCTACTGACTGGAGTCGTCTCGCCTCGAGCGGCGAAGCGGGCTCAGCGTCGCTGTCTATATTTGACAGCGCGCATAGGCTGTGCACGCATGGATTAGTGAGTACATTCTGCACTCGTGTGAAAAGAGTGGGATCCTCTAGTGCCACCGTCATTGTCAGAGAGAAGACTTAACTTACGCCCAGCGGCCGACTTTCAAGATCTCTAACGAGCCCCCGATTGCTCACCTCTTACAAATTGCAGTTCTCTTTTCAAATCCGCCTCCACTCATTCGACCCAACAGTAAAGAAGATGGAAAGATAGGAAGCAGATTGGAAAGCACCGATAAATAGATACATAGATAAGTAAATAAATGATTGACACCTTCCTAAATCTCTTATAGGAAGATGTGATCTCGAACTCCTGCCAGAAGGACAACGGACAGGAAAGACCATTTGGCACTAGACCTCCGGACAATCTTCCTACCTGTCTCCCTCGGTTGGACATGAACCCGGTTGCTGCTAGCTCTTTCATGTTGGCATCAACCAAAGGGTAACCGGTCCGTCCCTCCCGCCACGTGTCGAAAAGCTGCTTGTTCTGGCCCCACTCCTTGCCACGAACCTGCAGCGAAAACTTATTTGATTATCGTAGCTTCAGACAAGAAGCTAAAGGGTTGAAAAGCTCAGCCTGAATTGCAATACTTGCTCTGCGCTGACCTAGCTTTCGTTCAGGCCTGCAACGAGAACTGGCGGCAAATCCTGTACATAAGAAGGAACGAATGGGACAGAACAGACTTTTCTGGCTTCCGCGGAATGTGGCGAAAAGCGAAGGTTGCTACTGGGTGAGGTTAAGCGTAAACTACAGGAAACCCGTCGTCATATCGCCTCAATGTCATTCCATTTGCCAATCACAAGGGACAGCCTGCTTTGAAGATATGTAACAGAACAGCAGAACGCTCGCTGCCGTCAGTGATCTGATGTGCAGATCACTCACGTCTCGCAGGCCCCCCAGCTTGAAGAGCTTGTCCCCAAACTTGATGGAGATGAAGCGGAAGTAGTCCCGCCAAATCAGCTCGAACAGCAGCCAATACGTCGACTTGTTCTCGACGCGCTCTCTTTCGTACCTTCGAACCTGCGCGCGCAGTCGAACGATGACCGTCAGTGAATGTGACTAGTCCGGATGCTTGCTAAATCAACGCAAGGCTTCGAAAGATCGACGCTTATCAATCAAAAGAGGTCAAGAGGTCAACTGCTTTTGAGGGGGGAAAATGTTCGACTGCTTTTGACGGGGAAATTAGTCCGAATGCGTGAGAGGTCGACTGCTTTTGAAGGGGAGAACTAGTCCGGAAGCAGATCTCCCGGTCAAGAACATGCATGATTAGGCGATGCAGCACACCGTCCCCAAACATCGACCGAAGAGATCCATTCGTTTCTGCAAGGACCAGTGCTTTACCCTGAGCTTGCAGAGGACCCCATAAATCTCTTTCCAAACTAAGCAAAATCTGCACGCAAGTTCTCGGACCTGACAAATGCTTGTCGCCCAATTGAATACGACCCGTCAGAATTGACCAAGTCTGAAGCCCTTTGTGCTTTTGAAATGAGCCGGTCAGAAAACCTTCCGAGCACTTCACCCAACTCAAAGTAATAACAAAGTCAGGGTCCATTCCGCCGGAAACCACATGCACAGAGACCAACCGTGTCAGCTAGCTCACTTCGCTGTGAATGTAGCGTGGCGAAATGCAGCCGTGCGCGAGCCACGCCGAAAACTTGGACGAGTAGTCGCCGCCCAGCATGCCGTTCCGCGTCTCCTTGTACTCCTTCAAGCAGTCCTGCAAAAGCGACCAAGCTTTCAATCCATCAGCTCTTCCGTGCCGTGTTGCTTCTGACACTTAGGCCATTTGGAAGAGACTGTTTTGAAAGAAGTGTATCGGCCGAAAGACACCTGCCGAGAGCAACGCACCAAGAAAACTAGCCTCTGAGTTCGTTTTCCCCCCCTCCCTTTTCTTCTTTTAGAAGGGCTAGAAAAGACTCGATAGAGTAACTCTATGGCTCAACATTGAACCTGACGCGCACATTTGCACCCGAGGTGGTGTTGTACTCTTGCCATGACACGGGATGCGACGCCATCTTGAGTATGCCGAAGCAAGCTCAGAGTGACAGCTCGTTGAGCTCTATGTACTCCTACTCCGGACATCTTCAATTGAAAGGAGCAGAGCGGACGGGTAATGAGCCAGAGTTCTCTAGTTACGCTTGGTTCATACAGAAAAAAGAGTCGAAGCCGCTCCACGTAATTCGGTTTGCTCTGGGTTTGGAACTTCATCTTCGAGCCTCAGCGGAACCCTTCAAAGTCAATTCAACAAGTTCCCCATAGCCAAAGCCTACCTTTGTCCAGAAGTAGTCATTCAACCGCTCCAGCGCCGCCGTTTCCCCGCCCTTGAATGGCAGCACCCCCCGGGGGTCCATCGCCTGCGGATCCACCCCTAAAGCTTCCAATCGGGGCATCTCTCCGGGCCCTCCGGCCGCCTGAATCTTCCCGAGAACCTCCTTCGAAATGGGCTTCAGCTTCGGAATCTTTAGAGGTTCCCGTACCTTCGACCGGCTCTCCACCCCCTTCCGGAACTGGGTGTAAACATCCGGAACCGCTGCAGCCGGAAACGGCAAGTCGTCGATGTGATACATCGTTACGCCCCCCCATACCAGCTCCAGAAACCCTCTAGAGTTCCCCTCCTGGAGCTTGTGTAGCATGCGCCGCTCTACCGCTTTCTCCTCGGAGCACGTCTCGAGCGACGCGAAAACGCGCTGTGCGCCAACGGATTTTGCGAGAGACGGGATGACGTCTTCCGGGTTGCTGACGCGCACGAGAAGGTCCGCGCCCCGCTGACGTAGTTGCTGACGTAGGTCGGAGACGGCGTCCCAGATGAACTGGGCGCGCAAGGCTGCGCAAGGAGAGCGGAACCTCAGCACGAACCGAATGGGTTGAAAAAGTCGAAGGACTGCAACCCTTAAAAGCCTTGAGTCTACAGGATGGAAGTTACGAAGACCAGAGGTACGAAAATGGAAGCCGTAAAGAACTCAGGATCGTCAGACAGCAGACAGAAAGCAACCACCGAGATTCGTTTTCAGTGAATTGTGCTAATTGAGGTAATCAAACTTGATGGTAACGAACATCAAGCTGAAGGGTCAAAAGACAATTGTGATCGTAACAGCACCCTTCTACCTGCAAACTCAACCGTCCGGACACAAAACTGATGCGCCGCTCATTGCGCACAGCCGACTAGATTCAAAGCCGGATCCATATGCCTCGGCCATCTTTGTATTCTAGGGGTGCATGAAGCAGCCCTACAAAAGCCCAGATCTCATCCCTCCTACGTTTCCGTGGAAGGACGAAACGAGAACATCATACGCAAATAATGATTCAAAGAAAGATGGACATCAATTGCAAGGGAACCAGCGACTTACGTCCCGTTTTCTGGAAGCCGAAGTGGTACGTCCGCCCGTAGATCCGCGGGTCGAAGCAGAAGACCGGGACAACGGAATCCGATGCTTCTGCTGCCCGCACAAGCGCCTCGTTGTCGTGCAACCGCAGGTCGCTGCGGAACCATAAGATGACGGGCGTCTCTTTGGTAGAGGCCATGTCGGTCTCTGTAAAAGACGAAAAACGAAGTTCATGGACGGAGACCTTGGTTGCTTGTGATGCAGTTGAAAAGGAGCGGGGTAAAAGCGAGGTATCGACGCTTGTGCGCTACGCATGACCGGGACACGTGCTCGAGACGACTCAAAGAGAGCCGTCAAGGAGCGACCGGAAATGTCGGCTGCTGCGAGTGGATTCTTGCGCTAACTTTGGCTAGGACAATGAAACATTCGCGAAGAACGTTCTGCCTTCTGCATAACATGGCCGCAATCTGCCTGCCACTGGACGACAGCTTCGCATGTAAGGTGATGCGACACATTAGATAAACCTAGGTTCCCAGAACAAGAACAAACTCAGCTTCGACGTCTTTGGAACCGCCAAACAAGTTGTTTTCTCGACCACTAGCCACTGTGGATTAAAATTGGGAACAAGAGCAACTCTACTCCACAGGTACAACTAGCTGTTGAACACCTTCTAGAAGTCGCAGGTTTATAAGACCGCCTCCCCAAAACGAAACGGCAGAAATTTCCTCACCTTTGATCACAAACTCCCGAGCCGCCGCTTGTGTGCAGAAGCCTCTCCCCTGCCGATGTCCTCCTGCGCTTCTGACGCGTACAAAGCCAACGAGTGTCCACGAGCCTTGGAGCGGCGACCCACGAAACGAACTGGGCAAACTAGGCGTGCTAACTGTTTCAAGATTGCTGGTAGCCCCTAATGATCCAAATGAGGCGAACCCTTCTCCTACTTGATTGCTTTTGAATTGAGCGGCCCTGCTTCGGAAACTCCCTTCCGCCCGTCTATGGGGAAACGAGGGGCCACTTGGCTGGGGGATCCCTCTGACACTGCTTCTGGCAGGGGTAAAAGTTGGGTGGAGGTTTAAGCGGGCAGGTTTGCTGACGTGGCGCGCTATGATTGGTTGCGCCGGAGCGAGCTGCCGGAGCGCCCACTTGGCGGAACAGTTGCTGACTGCTTTTGCTGTTGGGCAGGAAGCAGAGCGGAGAATGGAGACCATGTGTGCGACGAAAGATCGTTTCTCCTGCAAACGGAGTGGGTCGAGTCAGTCAGACTTGAGAGCTGGGTTTAAGCTGGGTTTAAGCTGGGTTTGACCTGGGTTTGAGCTGGGTTTGAGCTGAGTTCAGCCTCATCGAGCTGGCGCACGAATGTCAACCTCGGGATGTTGCTGAGAGTGGATGCATCTGCTGGTGGAAGGAATCATGATATTGCACTATAACTTTTTTCCTTCCGCGGAGAAAATTTTGATAGAATTCCCTTTCTTGTAAGCCTGCAATAACTAGTAGATGGTTCAGTCTGAGGAACTATGGTGCTGGTCGAGGCAAACTAGTCAAAGCTGTGACAAGCCAGTTCAACCCTGGCACGGGGTACCGATCACTCTCACTACAGTTGCTAAGCCGGCTGCACAAGGTATCGCTTGAATACAGGGTGACCCTCAAGTAAACTTGGATCTGCTGCTGTAATATACTGAAAAATGTGAAGACTCTAAGATTGCAAGTTTGCTGAACACCAACTTGGGTTGGCCAGCAAAGCCCCAGAAGATGGCTTCCAGGTTTCTAACAGTATGACCGACCTTACCGTGCGCCTCGTGGTGCACTGGAACGTAAACTGCTTGTTCATCAGCAGACCATGGGTGCTGACACTGAAAAGTGTGGACTAAGGATGCATAAATGATCTTGCAATCTGGGCAAGAAAGGGCCTTACATTGAGAGAGCTAAAGCGGGCACCTCGGAATTGCACTAAAATAGATGCCCAAATCCATGCAGCTGAAAAGCAATTCCCTTATGTTGGTGTTTTTGGGCTGCTCGAAGGGGCTAGAAAATAACTTTCAGGTAGCTGTTGACTTCCAATTTACAGTGATAAATAAATTTCAGGTAGCTGTTGACTCCAATTTGGAGTGAACACTATCAGGAGGCTCAGTGCATGCTAGGACTCCCAACAAGCTGGCGCCCTTCATACCAGCCAATACATCTGCCTACATCCGTCCCCGCCAGAAGTTCAACTTTGAATTTTCAAGCAATAAGAGTGGCGCCACGATCCAAAGAAAAAGGCTTTGATGGCGTCAAAACATTATTGAAATGAAAGTGGCGCCAAGCCCAAATAGTCGATGGCATCAAAATAATGAGAAAACCCGACAGATCAAGACAGAGCAATCGCCACAGCGACTATGGACAGGTTTGTGGAGTGATTTGTAGCTGAACCTCGAACAGTAACACGAACAGCATGCTGGTCCAAACGTGATCATACCACGGCTGATGGAGAAGCAGCAAATAGTTTTGACGACATAAGCACGACACAGCAACATGAAGTCGGCACAAGTTTAACACAAGATCGCTAGAAGTGAAGAGCTGATAAAAAGGATCAGCCCAAACACATCCAACAAAATAAGGATCAAGCAGGCTGCGACTAGTGTGACACCTGAGCATCATAAACCCCACATCTTTTTCGACTGACTGCTGCCGACAGCCTGAGGAAAGCCCTAAACGATGTGACTGATCACAGATGGCAATCCTCAAAGAACATTTGGACCGCCACATCGGGAACTCCAACAAGGAGACAAGCGGGAATAACTTACAATGCTGCAAAGACCCAGCTTCTTCAGTTGCCCTCTTCCTTCGTGTAGATCCGTCTTCTCGTCCGTGCCTGCCTCCAGATCCACGCGTGAGGTCGACGAGCATTTCTCCCGCTTATTCCCAGGTTCCAATTCGTCTAGCTTGACAGGTTGCCTCCGAGTCAGGCTCGAGTACTCGAGCCTCCAACTTGGTAACCATTACCGCCGGCGGCGGCAAGTACAGACTGCAGGTTGTCAATGCAGACTGGCTGCCCCATGGTGCCAGTGCAATTATGCAGCGCTACGGTTATCGTGCAATTTAGGTGCTCAAGTGGCGCAGCCTCAATGCGCCACGTGCCCATCGGCGGATCCGTCACGTTCGAACTTGCAAAATGTTCCGCTCGTGCCCCTACGGAATCCGGGCTTGGCCATATCCAGGTGTGGCGTTCCGTCGGACTGGGGGATGGAGCGGAATGCGGACTGCCCAATATTTCTACCGTCCAGAATGTCCAAACCTCGTTTCTGGGTACAACTTGACCACAAGCGAGCAACCAATGGGAATAGGTCAATTTGAAGACGACAATGCGGCCACGTCTCTCCATAGACTGTCCTAGCGCGACGTGGCCGTACAATCTATAACTTTTGGCCGGGTTCGGATAGAATGACGTCATTGGTAATCGGATCGTGCTCCTTGCCAGCCTGTGGTTAATATTTCACAGACTGATCGCGCACTCGTAGTGCTGTGTTACGTACTGTATTTCGCAAATTAGCCTGGCTGAGCAATGAGCAAATCCCGCGGTGATGTCAGCTTGGATTGCATTGACATGAGAGGACCCGCAAAAGGAGGAAGATGTTCGGCTGGGTGAATCCATTATATTGCGCAAGCCTTGGGTTTTGGAATCGGGAGCGGATCCTGGATCCTGGTCCTCTTCGGCGCATGATACGTACGTCTATGGTTTACACGTATCGTAGGGTTACAGCTGTCATGCCCTCAAAGGCCACTGGAAAGCTAGCGTGGGGAATTCGCGTGATGATAACCAGTAAATTCGTTTGCGGAAGTACCCACCTCAAATTCTTGGCCCAGAAACGATGATTGGGCACTCGAGTCAAAGCACTCAACCTTGAACCCCAAGCTACGCCTTGGACATTTCGCCATGGCCACTGCTGATTTTTGCCCTCTGCATTTCGTGAGTGGAGGCTTTACTCCATCCTACCTTTACCATCTTTACCCTCGAAACAGAAGTGGTGGCTCATTCAGTGACTCTCTTGAACACTTTCTGTGATCTCAAAAGTTGGAATTGCCTGTCTTACCTTTACCAGCCCTTTAGATATTCGGCACTAGCATCTGGCAACGCACACGCAGGCCAAGAAAGTCGCCAATTGCACTGCGACTTCTAGTGTTGCATTGAGAATGGTGAGTTTGCATGGTGACCCCATACGGTTCCTCCGTCATGATGGTGGGCTCGTGTCCTGAGGGAATTTCATCTGGTGTTCGGGCTTGTTACTGTGGAATCTTTTCCTCTGGACACATTATTTGTGTTAGAGTCAGCTATGGTCTTCTGCAATTTGGTAATTGAGCGATGATGTAGGGTACGTTGATCCCTTACTTTCCATCTTGTGGATTGCTGGTTCATTGTTAGTTAGTCTTCCGAGAGCATTCTGGGCCATGATGTCGAATTTTGCTGAATTGAGAATTGCACAGGCCGTTCGAGTAGTAGTTAATCTCTGCCTCTCTCTAAGCCAAATGCTCTCTTTGCAATGTGGGCAGATGTACCATCTCTCAGTTGCCAGGCACAAAATAATCTGCACGCTCTAAAATGGAGCATACCTAAGTCAGCATGTCTTCAATTCCACTCATTACTCAGCTGAGCAGCTGCAATCCTGCCAGCTGTCCATCAAACACGGCCAGCTGCACATGGCACTGCTGACAGCTGTCATGAGTCACAATGCTCACTGGATTCCTCCCTGTTTCAGGTGGGATTCTCCCTGCCTCGGGCCTTGCCACTGGAGCGTCCAGAATGGCTGGATGCCCTGCTTAGCCTAGAGTTCTTTGTGCCCTGCAAGAGGCACTTGATTGCCAAGAAGAACGAGCGCAATATCTTTTGCATAGACTGCCATGACGCAATCTGCCAGCACTGTCTTGGGAGTCATGGAGGCCACAAGCTAGTGCAGGTAAGACTGGCTTCACTTCCTTACCTTGGTGGCCGTTGCTTTTGGCAATTGGGTGTTACAAGGTCATTCCAAAGTTGGTCACTACCTCAGAGGAGCTGCATGTAGTAGCAGAATCTTGATAGCTCTGTTCATCTTGCTGCTGGTCAGAGCATTAAGAGAAGTTCACTGGTATGTCGCAATTGGGGCATAAATCAGGACCTCCACACATTCTTGATAGATTCCATGATTTGGACTGGGTTCCTGAAGCACCATATGACTGAGGATTCTACACCTTGGATGTTGAGAAATGTCCGTCCTCCAGTCTTCAGCATTGGCTGCAATTGAAGAGTTGCAAAACACTTTTAAGTGCGGGATAGTATTGCAGAGCTCAATTGGATTGCTTCAGTCTCCATTGCATTAGCTTGCCTTCTGGTTAGTCCAGACAGCCCTGCAGACCCAGCTAACAGAGTCCTCGGTACTTACAACTTCTCATCATGCCTTCAGGCATAGCGCAATCTTCAGCCAAGATGGTCTCTTCCGTGTCTTCAGATTGTCTCGTTTTCTCTTGGTTTTGACCGACTGATTCTCTCTTGGTTCTGACTGACAAATTCCCCTCTCTTTTGTGCAGGTCCGCAGGTATGTCTACCATGACGTTGTCAGACTTAACGACATCTCAAAGCTAGTGGACTGCTCTGGTGTTCAGGTAAGACTAGGCTTGGTCAAGTTCTGGCCCAGAACTGTACAGATTCGATTCGTGGAGTTTCTGTTTACCAAGTCAAGACAGACTACTTATCTGCATCATGTCTCTATATCTGAGGATGCCTCTTGGTTCTCCTGTCTCTCAATCTCTTGGTATTCCTCCAGACCTTCAGGTTTGCTTGTCATAAGGCCTGCTTACTCCACCTGCATTGAATTTTCTGAAGCCTGACGCGCTTGACACAGCTCTTAGTTGGAACAAATGGAAAAAGGGCTCTTCCTTGCTTACCCTCCCAATTGATATTACTAGCTTCTGTGAATGTTCTCACCTTTCATTCCCTGGCCTCCTGTGCCCCTCATGTCAAGACACCGTCTCATTTGAAAATTGGAGTTCTCAAATTCAATTCTTTTGACCCTCCATCCCTCACTTTTGCCCTCCTAACACTTGTCTTCTCATCCTCGCAGACCTACATCATCAACGGCGCACGCGTTGTCTTCCTCAACCAGCGACCGCAGCCCAAACCTTCCAAAGCTCTCGGCAACGTGTGCGGCCACTGCGACCGCGCCCTTCAGGAGCCGCACCAGTACTGCTGCGTCGCTTGCAAGGTGGACTCGTCTCTGGACGCGGGCCAGGACGTGGCTGCGATGCTACCCAAGTTCATGCACACCACGTTCGAGCTCAGCCCCGAGTCGTCCCCCATGAAGCACCTCAAGGTGAGACAATTTGGCTGAGAACCGCTGGAAAGATTGTTGAAGGGTTTGGTACAGAGTTTGCCTGCTTCGTCATTGCCTTCTTGTATGACTTGCCTGAAGCCTGAACTGAAGTTGAAGGCATTAGAAGAGGCTTGGTGTTTCATTGGGATGCCCTCTTGTTGCATATTTTCCGTCCTTGGACCTTTGCTGTCAGAAAGTGGGCTGATTCCGAAGGTTGCTGTGCTTTGCAAAACGTGTCTCCTCCCCAATCAATTTCTCAGGAATAGACTGACGGCAGTTTCTGCATATGCATCCTGATAGATTCCTTCTGGATTCGTTCCTAAAAGCCTCTCCGTTTTCTACTTCAGGCTGTTGCCCGCGTCACTGCCCGGCGCACTTTCCGGCGGATCACCATCCCCACTTCCGAGAGCAGCTTCCAGTCCCAATCCAGCGAGATAGACTCCCCCCGCGAAGTCGAGTCTGACACGTCATCCACTTCGCTCCCCAACATCTTCGAACTCTCCCCCCGGCTGACTTTGAAGCGTTCCCGAGGCTCCACCGACTCACTCGACTCGATGCTCCGGTCCGTTTCCCGGAGGAAGATGACCGTGCCCCACCGGGCGCCGCTGTGGTAGGGGGTACAAAGTAGGGCGAATTTGTTGGGGGGGTGTGGGGGTGCGTTTGGTCGCGGTACATTTGTCTCCGCCATGCGGTATTTGTAGTCTATGAGTCCAATCGGTAATTGAGGTGATATAGGTATTGAATGCGGGGAAGGGAGGAGGGATTAAGGTGCGAGGGTTAAGGTTGTGGGGGGCAGATTCAAGTGACCGGACGGACGAAGGTACTGCCTAAGGATCGTACTGTGTAGGACTCCGCTCGGAAGGATGGTTAAACATTAGGCCCGCTGCATCAAGAGTTGTAGGACTGGCCGGGGTAATTTACGGCCACTATAAATTAGATGCGGGAATTAAGGACAAACGGCACCAGCTAATTTTCGCATTGGAGCTGGTGCCATTCTTCGGATCATGGCACGGAACATTCATCCACAGGCGCAGGTAGCGTATGATACGGGTTGAGATCGCAATTGCGCTCTAGATCGCATTGCAACCGCTCTAGCTCTAGAGTCAACGAAGAAATCCAGCGATATAAGGCTTAAATTTCAAGGTTGGCAGTGCAGATCATGCACAGGAGCTGTTGGAAGGTGACAATTGGAGTCTTGGTAGGTCTGTACTATGTACTAATGTTAGCGGTAGGCATTGGTTCATTGATTAGGGCAATGAATCAGCAGTTGTTAGTCGTGTCTCGCGTCAAAACAACAATTGTGTGGAACAGATGGAAGTTACATCTTTGAGGAGCTTGCGGCTGATATTGGCAAAATCGAGGTGATCCGAGTCATTGCATTGAGATGCATCACACAGCTTAGCCCAGCCATCTTGGGCATGTCACGCGATCCAATCCTGAAGTGCATGCTAGAGAATTGGCTGCACTCGTCAGATTTCGATGGCCGTTGTCGAATAAACGCACATATATTGATCAATGCCATGTCGATATTACATAGACACGACTTCTTTCCAAATCACATGTGACCGTGAGTCCTAGCTTGAATTGCCGACTAACGGAAACAAAGACAATGGGCAGATGCATGCTCGTAAACCTGCACATGATGTCACTGGAAGATTTATGCGCAGGCCGGCGTGACTCAGTTCGATCAGGACCTACGGTTAACTCGCGATCAATCCAAACGGTGAACTGCATGGTTGCCCGGGGCATGGATCGACTACCAATGAAGCCTTAATATGTTCCGTACGACCGTGACTCCGATCCGCGCGCGAATCATGTATGTATGTTGCCTGCCGAACTTCAATAGCTTCTGCACAGCCATCTAGCCTGTCATGTTTCATCACCGCTTCTTTGAATGACAAAATCAAGCCGTGACAAGAAAGCTGGAAAGCCTTATGGAACAAAAGCTGCGGCGCCGATTGCTTGGCACAGCAGACGTCCGAGGCTGAATTTCAAACCAGGTCCCCTACCCGACTAGGATGCTATACTACCTCTGACAATGGCCAGGAACTCAACTATACAGTATACGTATAATTGCTCAGACTGCTTGCAAGATCAAGTGCTTGCTCGAGGCCCGGACGCATGACGTGCATAACCTTTGGGAGCATGAGGGCGCGAAGCACACAGGCCGTCTGCTGCACAGTCGTTACAGTAAAGCTCGCCACGTTTGGAGAAAGTAATTCCAAACCCGTTGAAAGGATGATTTTGACTTCGATGCCGCTTTTCGTATCACGAAGAATCGAAGAGCGGAGCCCGCGCGCAGACGCTGCCAGATCCACCGTTGTTCTCAAATGTAAGGGACTAGCACCTTGGCCCCGCCACGATGTGCAATAGCCGCTTCCCTTCAGTATATGTTCACCTGTAATGTAAAGCGCGCGCGAATCAGGTATCGCCCCCATCCTTTGCTGGCAAACCCAAGAACAGTCTCTGGTCGTCACTTGACCGAGTTGCAGAGGTCACTGACGTCCAGTGGCTTCGAGAAGGGCGGCCGTGAAGGTGAACCGAAGCACACTACCGGCAAAGTTTCGCATCAGGTTGGGAGGGGCTGATTGGACCAAAGCTGGAACACGGTTACGCCTCAGTCTTAATTTGTAAGCAAATTACAGCACTGGCTACTCTACTGTAGGCTTCGTGTTACAAGTTGAAAGTCACGTTGTAGAGGCACGAGCTCAGGGAATCTGCTGAAGTTACGGATAGATTGAGGGTTTGCTTCAGCCTATCTGTCTGCTTCCATTGGACATTGATAGCAAAGGCGCAATTTTGGGAGGCATCAGTAGCATATTATGAGACCGTCTGACTACGATGAACGATAAGCCTGTGGACCTGTTCTGAGGTTATGTCGAGAAGCTTGAAGGTTCCAAAGATTAGCGGAAAGATCCAATTGCCAAAGATTCCTTTGGCACTAGAGCTGCAAGGAAACCCGGTTTTGGCTGAGTTCGAATCGACTCTGATTAAGCGGAAGTGGACGATGCCAGGTATGTTCGGGAACTTTCAGAGTGACGATGTCAAGGAGTTTGAACAGATTTGGTACCGTCAGGCACTGGTACTTTCAAAGGTGGATGGAAAGACGCGCCAAGTTTAAGGGTCATCAGTCAGAGATGGTGAAGGCTGGGCCGGTGGAAATAAAGATGCGAGTACCTACCAGCTGGTAGAGACCGTTCAAGCAGAATCACCTTCAGCTTTAATCTTCAAGGCGAGACAAAGCTCTTGACTCAAACTCTCAAAATCTTCGAGGTGATATGATGTTGCTGTGCTAGCTCTTCTTCTTTTGGCCATTCAACTTGTGCCTGCCAGCGCCACGATAAAATCCAGATCACAGTCAAGCCGCAGGCTGAGCGCTCCGCCGTAAGTCAGGTTCGGAAAAGAGGAGCATCTCAAGGCACGTCCATCGACGCGATGCCGGGCGCGGCCGCGCAAAATCAACCGTTGAATCGGGCATCCGACGGTCCATGTGTGTTCACGAGGGGGTTTACCGCAACGTAGCCCCAAACTATCTACCTATAGTTTTCTTCCATCAGAGCAGTCACAAAGCATTGCTGAGTGGGAAGATTGGAAAAGGCGCCAGGCTGTAGTTCGAAAAGTAGTCGACCTTTCAATCCGCGTTAAGAAAGGAAGGGCCTACTGGTAGGCGGTGATGCAGAAGGAAGACCTTTTCTGAAGTCTTTGTTCATACTTTCAGAACCACCTGGTCAAAGAATTCACTAGGAGACACGTTCCAAGATGGGAATGAAGAATGCGCCTGAAGACTTGAAAGAAGAGAAGCAGATGCCACTCTCCCTGCTGACCGAAAGCAAAGTGAGACTGGGGCCACTTCTCACAGTCGAACTACACAGTGCTGTCGATGGCGAGCTCACGCGGATTGTGTATGTCCAATCATTCATGATCGACGACACAGATCCAGAGGGACGCCCTGAGATTAGCTTGTGGGAAGTGAGAAGGACTTTTGGTCTACGCGAAGACGCGCCCCTGTTCCACTGGGAAGGATCGGACTCCAGGCGCTGCTTCTTCAGGAGGAACGTTCTAGGGCCCAGGATTCTGGAATTTCCACCGCCTCTTCTTCACTACACACAGAATCTGAAGACGCCTGGGGGCCTGCCCGTGCTTCCTGTCTGCACTAACTTCACCGGGGGTGTTCAGGTATGTTTCAGCATTTTCCTGAGACTTTACTTCTCTATTATTGTCAATCCCTTTAGAATCCCTGCGGCTTCTTCTTGCTTGCAAGAGTAAGAAGGTAAGATTCGTTCAGAATCCCAAAAACTTGTTCAGAAGGCGTTGCAATTCGATTTGAAGCCCTGAGCCTGGCGGCTATATTCAGGATTTTCCATACGATATGCACCTCCGTAGAGCTTTCAAAGATTTTCGAAACACACAGAAGAGAGATAAGAGTGAAATGTTTGCTGATCATGCAACTTGGGTGCCGCCTGCCAGGGCGCGCTTGCGTTTCTCGGACCGAAAGTCACAACTTTGTGCAAATGTCAAATGAAGTCACAGACTTCATCAAGGAAAAACAAATTGTACGATTGTGTGTTCAATTATCTGCTGATGACGGGCATAGCAATCGAATTGTCTTGCTACAATGAGAGCATGCCTCGCTATGACTGCTACAGAGGACCATTTTCAATCCACTAGTCACTCAAACTTCTCATAAGGCAGAGGGAAGATGGCTGCTTTGGGTTATATACTGCCTACCAGCTGCGGAAAGAGTTCATGCAGTCCAGTTCTCAAAAGCTGCAGAATTGAGTTGTTTAGATGTGAAGACTAGTAATCGGAAGAGTCTTTGGCTCAAGTCAACCTGGTCGAGTCTTTGAGACAACCCTCCGCGGTTCTTAAGGTGAATTGAAAGGTACCGCAAGCTGCTTGGAAAAACTTACGAAATCAAGACTCACTCAATCCATTCGTACGCTGGTTTGAGCAGACAAAGCCACGCAATCTGAACGAGCGCATTTTGGTTATTTGTGCAGATGGATAGGCGCACTGTTTCGTGGCTGCTCGTATTGGACGCAACCGCCGTCGGACTCGCGTTCCACCGTCAGATTGACTTCTGCGCCCCACGTGGCATGTATGAGACGATCATCCTTCCACTCGCGCTCCTCCTCCTGTGGTGCTACCTCATCGTCGGATGCTTTGGCCATGTGACCGAGTGCGTCAGCAGAAAAGCGAAGCAGTCCCTTGGAAAAGACAAGTACCGTGTGATCGAGCGGTTGGTCCGAGGATTCAGGTCTCTGCTCATCGGCGCTATCATGTTGTTCCCGCTCTGGTTGCTATTTCAGCCTCTCCCTGTGGGAAGCACTTTGTCCACCTCTGACATCACCAGCACTCCATCGGCAATGAACGAAACCGTGTCCTACTACAAAGTTGACTCGGCCGAGTTCCGTATGGAGATGTAAGCACAACTGGCAAAGCCGGACGCGTGTGGCAATACAAGTTCTTGCCTGTTGGCGTTTTGCTAAGGACACATCAGGCAAATCGTTTTCAAAACCCGTCTGTTAAGCTTGGCAATCGTTGAGCAAGAAACAGGTTGGCACTCTACGAAGACGAAGTCACCCGCCTGGGCAGAGTGTTGGAATGCAGCGGCTGTCGTTTAGATAGACATGGTCCAGACCATTGCAAAGAGTGCCCTACTACTACTGGCCCCATAGTAGTCCAACGGCTTCGAACAGACGTGGAAGCTTCGCTTGTATCAGCGGCTAGTGTGCACAAAGACGCTTTGGCCTGTTCCAAACGTTCCGGATCTGTAGACTCTAGAAGCATTCAACCGACTTCTGGATTCCACAAAGGTTGATTTCATAGCACAGGTCTTCGCGCTTCGTTACGTTGTTTCCACTGTCTCGAACGCTGCGCCACTTGTCGGCTCGGCATTCACCGTGCTATGAACAATACGAATGACACTCGTACAAGCTTATCTGCAGTATGCTTAAAACAAGGATGCCTGGGCTTCTAAAAGTTGGCGCCCGGTCTCATGATACCTCGTCAGATATCCAAAGTTCAATCTTTGCAGATATGGGACCTCAAGCTTGTCAATTATGTCTGCGGGCATGCACCCCGCGCTTGAATCTTATCCCCCTCTCGCACTATGATTCTAGGCGACTCATGAACCAGGATCTCATCGAGGTAAAGCTGTGAGCATCGCTCGAACTTTTGAAGTCAGCAGCTTTCCTGATTCTGGCATGCCTAGCACGGCCGAACTCCAAAGTAGTCATCATGTTCCGTGCATGTAGTAGCGGCACGGGAGCGTCGCATGATTTTACATCTCGAGAGAAACATCAAGGAAACATTCCGCTTTTGATCGTTTAAATCATCACAAGGTGTCTCTCAAACGGTCTGGAGTCATTGCTGCTTTACGTACGGTCCTAGTCAAAGTAAAGCCGGAGGGGAGCCGACGGCACCTGCAGGTTGTCAACACCGGACCGGGCCGTCCCACTGGCATCAGCTTACCACGTGCTGCTGGCAGTCGATTGCTTGAAAAGTGTTGTAGTCTTCAAAATTGCAATCACGCCCAACGAACAACCAAAAACATGTAGGCCAGAATGGAAACATGCATCAGATTTAGTTGAACTAGAAGACTAGATTGGGGGCAAAAGCTCCCAACTTTACTCTAGCTTTGAGCCTGAGGGGTGCAGTGGAGGGGTGCATTCTCAATTCCGTTTTCAAGCTAAGCTAAGTACGTCAGAACGTCATATCATCACTCCAGCTTTCGTCAAGCTCCCTGGGCCTCTTTGACGCCTTTCTCCGGGTCACGATTGCTAAAACAAAAAATCCGGGAAAAAATCTGGCTGAGTCAGCTGCGCGCTCCACATGTCCACAACTTGCTTGGCAGGCATTGATACGTTTGCACCTTCACTTGTCTCCACGATAACAATCCTAGGACAGCTCAGTTGGGTATGCGTGCATCCGGCGACGTTCAGCGTGACGGTAAGTTCCGCCAGGATGGCCGCGCCTTAAACGAGGCGGCCGCGAGGGCGGGCGGCCGCAGGCCGCCGGAGGAGGTCTCACGTTCGGCGCAGGGTTTCGAAGGTTTGCGCCGGAAACCATCTTCGGCGGGCGAGCCTGAGCCTCTCACGAGCGCCATATGCAGAGCTCTCTAGCTGACTCTGAGCGAGCTGCGTTCGCTAGCTAAATCTTCCTTTCTGGTGTTGGTGGGCGCTACAATGGCGCCTTCTGCGGATAGTGCCCTACCGGCGCCCCTGCCGTCTCTAGCTTTGGCGGCTCTCTTTGGAGCGGGGATCGCTCTTGCGGGTGCCTACTACTTCCACCGACAGCATTTGAAAGAGTTCGAGCTGTTGAGGTATGTTCGGCTTCCTTGTTTTTGGTTAGGTGGGACCTTGGAATATGAGCCAGATTGGCAAGTCAAGCTCTTGGGTCATTCAAACAAAAGATGTGACATGCTCAGGGGTTGTTCCCCTTGATGCACCACACACTTTGCAATTGAAGCGAACATGTCTTTATAATCTGATTGATCTTCAGGTTGAGTGTTCAGCTGCATTTCTATCGGTGAATTAAGTGCTGCATTTATTGATGGGATTGGTGATACTGTAGCTGACAGTCAGCACTCCGCTTGGCGGCTGAAGTTGGAACGATTTCTGATATCAGCCAATTGATGAAAGTAGTGAACCTGAGTTTCAGATCCCTTTTCTTGAGACATGGGTTTCTTGTTCGCGGTTCAAATAGAGTGTTGCGGCTCGCACAGTGATAGCGCCAAAGCCTCCAACCTAGGAATGTGGTGCCAACTAGTGTCAGGAGTTAACTCTGAACCTTGTGGCAGTGCTTGGTAAGGATGTTGCGGGTCAGACTGCACCATGCGCAATCTGAGCTTGATCTCTCCATCATAATCTCCCAATTTCAGGTCTTTCTGTGGCTATATTGCTCAAGACATCAAAGTTTTCTTCAATTGGATCCGATTGCCTCGTTCCAGTCATGTCATTGGGCACACAAGCAATATGTTCCTGATAGTTGCAGCGGTCTCTCTCCCGTTTTCCTATCCTGCATCTGGCTTGCTTTCTTTGTGCAATGTCCTTATGATAGCTACCCTCTGCAGAGATGGGCTGCAAAGGGGATCCCTTCGCAAGGGAAGGAAAGGGGAGCGGGCGCTGTCCGGAGAGGAGGAAGAGGATGCTAGGCACCCCCGACGGAAGTGAGGCCCTCCGGAATCTGCACTATGCTTACCATGATGCATTACCACAAGATGGAATAATGTCCTGCTGATGTTGGTTGAAACTCCACCTGAGAGGGAAGTTTGTAAAACACTGTTAGAAATTTCAGTTTCCTTCTTTAGATCTGACCAGATGGTTAGTTCCTTGATCTTTTTGCACGTATTTCATTGTCCCCTAGATTCCGAACCCACAATTTGATGCACACACCATTTTATGTAACAAAAACTCTGAACGCTGGCTGTCGCGAGGGAAACAGAGGATGAACAACCAGTCTGTAAGAGCAAGCTGATGACCTAGTTGAACCCTCCTTCTACCTGCTATGCAGGAAAGCTAGCCAAAGCCCCACTCGACGGAGGCGCCACCCCCCGCATGAGAACGGGGGAGCGTTCGACCCTTTCCGGGGGGGTGCGCATCTTGCCCCCGGTGCTACCCTGCCGGACGGCAAGGCTGCGTCGGCTGCCCGCATCTCATCCGACTTTTCAGACCCGTCCAAAATGCCCACTGTTTCGAGCCTCCCCCATTTGGGGAAGCTTGAGAGGAACATCTCGGAGCACAGCCGTACGGAGACGCCGGCGGGGGGCACGAGCGCTAACGGGATGCCCCCCTTGCCAAGGATCGCTACGCACAAGCTGGAAGGTGGGTGGGTCGCGCCTGTGCAGGATTGTTGGACTTTGGCCCAAGGTTAGGGACAGGCACAGCACAACTAGAGGTGTTGACTTCTGTATCTGTCTGGGCCAACAGATGCTAGTTCCGTATTTTCGCAGCGGGGCCGAGCCGATCTGTGATAGAGAAGGCTTGTGTGCTGCAATCGTTCTCCTAGAAGTCCTGAAAAATGTTGGTAAGCTCCAAAGGTTCTTCCGTGTTTCTTGCCGTTGTCGTTCCTTACATGTCAGCATCCCCAGCAAGTCAGTGCGAGTATAAGGAGCAAGTGCATCTGTCCGCTCCATTCCTTCATTGACCCTGATCCGATTTGTCAATCCCCTGGCACTGGTTGAAGTCCGGTCAGGGTCATTTGAGAAAGCGATCAAACGCAACCCAAATACTATCCGGGTAACTTTCAACAAGCAATCCAGGCAGCATCTGAAGAGCACGGACTAAGAATGGTTACGGTTTCTTTGGCAGCCGGCAACAGTCTGTCCAAGTCAGGGACGCGGCGTGTGCAGAGCCTGCAGGACCTGCGCAAGTCGGCGCCAACCTCGCCCGTCAAGAGCCAGTTCGCGCGCGTGGAGATGACCGACGAGGACGATGACGAGGCAATGCAGGCGGAGGCAGAGGAACGGTTGCGACTGGAGGCTGAGGGAGGTAAGTTATCTGTTTGGGGATAGTGCTTGCTTTTGGGAGGTTCTTGGTAGCAATCAGTCGTGTGTCGGGTAACCTCCTTGTTCGTGTTGTGGATGAAAATGTCGTGCAGACACTGAAGTCGTACTTCGGGGATGCTTGGTCTTGTTCTTCGGAGGTGTGCACCGTCTGCCGGTGCTCTTGCGAATTGTGACGAGGCAGAGGAGGGGAAGAAAGTGCTTGCTGAGAGACTTAGTCTTGTCGGCGCTTTTCAGTCGGTTTCCCTGGTCTTTCTTCTCGGACTCTAATTCCCAACCCACTGTTTCTTGACATGACAGGGCGGTGATCAGAAACGAATGACTTATCTAGGTTTTTTCTGATTCAGATAACTGCTTCTGCAGTCAGTCGCGCCAGTTTTCTGACGACCTTCGAAGCTGAGTTGAGTGTTGGACCGAGCCCGAGTGCGGAGAACTGAGCGGCAAATGGAGACGTGGTTGCACAACAAATGCTTCCAGCCACCGTACCCATGAGATCGTAGCCCTCTCGACGCTTCCCTGAAGGACTTACAACCTTGAAAGCAAGCTCTACGTTCGGTGGAAGCCCAAGGCAACGAAGAGGTTCCTTTCCTTGCGCCAGGAAAGCAAGGAACCATTGCAGAAAAGAACATGCATTTGGTTTTCAAACACGACTCGTTCTGACCGTTCAGTTCTTTCCGCAGAGGATGAGGCCCCAGGCAACGAGGAGGATGAGCCGCAGATTTGGACTTTGCTTCCAGACAGGGCCCCCTCTGAGCGTTCGTTTCTTCCCGCAGAGGCTGAGGTCCATGGCGACGAAGAGGAAGCAGTCCAATGACAAAAAGAAGAAACGATTCGCAAAGAGGGAGTATACAAGTTTCCAGACAGGAGTCTTTCTGAGCGTTCTTATCTTTCCGCAGAGGACGAGGCCCCAGGCAACGAGGAGGAAGAAGCCGAACGACAAGAGGAAGAAATGATTGCCAAGAAGGAGGAGCAAGAACGGCTCAACTGGCACGTGCCGGACCCGGAGAAAGGGGCGACTTCTGCGGACGGCAATCTCGAGCCGGATGCGCTGCTGAAAGCGCCGGAGCCGATTGCGGCATACGAGATGCGGAAGAAGGAGGAGCCGGAAACGTATACGAGGGTGATGGTGACCCCGGAAGGTAAGGCTACGGTTGGAAATAGGCGACGTCTGTGTTTGCAAACTGCAGACCTTTGCAAGTTTTACGCCTCGGGTCTTCGCAATTCAAGAGCTTCCGGTGGATTGGTTGGGGTTCCAGTTGGGCCGTTGAGTAGCATTTTGAATGAGATCTGGAGAGGTAGTATGTTGGTAGTGGGGGATCCTTGAATCCATCTGCGGAAAGTCGTTTTGTGGGGCTGTGTCGAACGAGTTGCAGGTCGTAGTCATAGAATCTGTCCAGAGGCTTGTTGGGCACTGAACAGGTTTGCTCCGGTTTGCTCAAGAACTGTATGGAGCTGCGCAAAGGGGTTCTGCCCTTATTTAGGTCCTGTCCCCAATCTAAATACAGCAATCCCGAGCAGCCTCTTTGATACACAATTTCAAAACCCAAACATTTCTGGTCATTTTCGCAGTCGTTCCTGGTCCGGAGGAGGTCGAGGTGTGCAGCATGCTCCAGGAGTGCGGGGAGCTGCGCAAGAAGTCCATGTTATGCGCCGGCCTTTCCCCCTCACATCACAAATGGCCTTTCAAATACTCATCTAATAGATTTGAACCTTTTGATCGTTCCTGCAGTGGTCCCCGGTCCGGAGGAGGTCGAGGTGTGCAGCATGCTCCAGGAGTGCATGGAGCTCCGCAAGAAGTACGTGTATCGTGCGAACATTCCCCCCTGGCACAGCGACCAGAAGTGGCCCGCGCGCGACCCCGGCACGCACAAGCTCGTCGAAAGCCCGTTTCAGTACAACCCCGAGCAGGGGACGGAGCACGTGTTTCGGATGCGCGACGGCGTGATGGACGTGTTTGCGGACAAGAACTGTGAGTTGAAGCAGCTAGTCTAGGTTTTAATGTTTTCTTCTTGAACCTTGGGAAGAAAAGCTGGGTTTACCGGCACACCTAGAATGGAATGTGGGCTTCCGCAAGGAGTGTGAACGGCCCAAACATGCAAGGTCTGGTTGCATTCGTTATGCGGACGTGGAGTTGCGCCAGCAGTCATGGCGTACATATTGCATTCACTGAGGCCGGGCCATGGGGAACTCAGGCAGATTCAAGTTCCTAGCTTCCCTCAGGTCCCGCTCTCTGCCCTGGTTGCATTTTGTTTCGTCTTTTGACAAAGGGGGGGCTTGGAGAACCTAGTCGATGTCCGATGTTCCTTTGCTCTCACTTCCAGGGTTCCAAAGACGCACTGGGATCCAGCCACTTCATCAGCTTCTGTACTTGTGGCTAAACGACTGCTGGAAGGCCGAAAGCTTAACAGGGCCATCTGTGTTGCGGGGAGCATGGCGCATCCCCCGAGTCTGAAGTACGGGGTTGCTCGGGCTCTTTCAAACTTCCCTCCGCCTTTTCGCAGCCGAGGAGAACCTGTTCCCGGTTCCCGACTCGGTGGAGTTCTTCACGGACCTGCACCGTGTGCTGCGGATAGCCAACTACGGGGGCGTCAAGACCTTCTGTCACCAGCGGCTGCGGCTGCTGGAACAGGTGAGCATGCGTAATGCGCTTCTCGAGATTATTGTTTTTGGTTTAAGATCGGTATTCGAGATTTCGGAGGGGTTCAAGAAATCTGAACCTTCAGGGTTTGAGCTTGAGCTTTCGCTGTCCTCTGCCGCTCGTGTATGACTGCTAGAACAGGTGAACCCTGTGTGTTGACGCATAGAGATAGTTGTTTTAAATCTTGGTTAGGAAGGAGTGCCCGCAAAGGCTCGTAGTTGGCTGTGGGCTCAGCCAGCAGCTTCAGATCGTTTCCGTCGACCTTATTTCAACAAGTCATGGTCACAAGCACTTCGTCTCGACCACTCTTGTAAGCCGCTCAGGAAGTTCCAGAAAGCCCTCGTGGGGTCTTACTACGAGCAGTTTCATTCTGTTGAAGCTCCTCTACAGACGAAAGGAACCGGTCTTAGTGAACCAAGTCGGACAGTCAGTTCTTTGCACTGGTTCTTCTTGAAAGTACCTGTCAATCTTGGAATCTGGAATCTGCTGCGATCAGATTCGCGAAAGTGGTCGCTCATCGTACTCTTTTCTCATTCCTGTTCCTCTCCTGTCCTTCGCAGAAGTTCAACCTCCATCTTATGCTAAACGCAGACCGCGAGTTCCTGGCTCAGAAGTCCGCACCCCACAGAGACTTTTACAATGTCAGAAAGGTGCGCTGCAACATAATCCCTAGTCCCGCATTATCTACTACCTCGCTTCGCGTGTCTTGGAGATCGAAGCATGATCGAAGCATGATCGAAGCATTTCTTCGCAGCTCGTCTTTGGTCTCGTTCAACGGGCCGGTTGGATTCCTATCGACCTCTAAGTGGGCAGATTCCGGCAGAACCAGCGGCCTTGCGCTAGCAACACCCCTTTCGAGATCTCAACGTCTGAAATTTTCGAGACAGGCAAGCAATGGTGCCACAGTCTGATTTCAACTCCTTACAGACGTTGGTTCCAATCTCAGACCTTACAAAGTACATCATATGGAACAAAATTCAAGTCTACCAGGCCTAAATCTTTCAGTCTCACTGAAGTCTCACCTGCGACCCTGACAATGTGTACATTTCCAAGTGAAGTCATTTCAAAGTGAAACGCACATGCCTCCTACCGGTTTTCCATTCGACAAGACTCTTCAGGCGATGGTTGCGAGGGTCCTGACACCGCCAAGCTTTGAGAGCGCAGAAGACGTTAGACCTGGATTGGTTAGCTTTCCAGGTGGACACACGCATGCAAGATTCAGAATCTTGTACAGAATCCACAGCTGAAATACGCTGAATCCTAACGAATCGATAATTTGAACCCTTAAGAACTGAACTCTATACTTTGATACTCAGGTGGACACGCATGTGCACCACAGCGCGTGCATGAACCAGAAGCACCTGTTGCGCTTCATCAAGTCCAAGCTGCGCAAGGAGCCGGACGAGGTCGTCATCTTCCGCGACGGCAAGTACCTCACGCTGCGCGAGGTCTTCGAGTCGCTCGACCTCACCGGGTGAGGGCCAACTCTAGTTCACTCTTTGTCAATTACCCAGTGCTTCCCCTGCTTTACTCGCGTTCAGTGATAAATAGGGCAGTGGGGATGGTCGGGTTGAGAGGGAAAGAGGTCTTTGAGTGGCTCGACCGACTTGAACTTGGGTTTGTTGCGCATGCATGCGGACAAGAACAACGGACCACTACTTGGTTGTCAACATGAACGATACCTGAAAACTCACTCTTTCTATACCAACTCGTTTTGGACGTCCGCAGGTACGACTCCAACGTGGTCTGATGACGTGCACGCGGACAGGAACAAGCCGAGTCAGTCGTCGTCAAGAATGACCTAAATCTGGACTGAGAAAAGCATTCTCTCTGTTCAAATGTGCTCGTTTCGGACGTCCGCAGGTACGACTTGAACGTGGATTTGTTGGACGTGCACGCGGACAAGAACACGTTCCACCGCTTCGACAAGTTCAACCTCAAGTACAACCCGTGCGGGCAGAGCCGGCTGCGCGAGATCTTCCTGAAGCAGGACAACATGATCCAAGGTGACGTCAGAGGGCGTTCCCTTTGTAATCTCTCTTCCTAATCTTTACCTTTTCGCAAACATGTCGCTGAGACATACAACTTGTAGCACCACGATGAAGCATTTCAGATGACGTCGGAGACAGCTACCTTTCGAAGATTCACTTGCTGTCTATCGATTGTTCAAACAGATAATTTATACATGAATCAGGGTTTGGAGGGGATGCAGGACACTGTGATCTAAGGCGACGTCAGACGTAGTCGTCATGCAAGTTTCTCTTAGAGAGATCTTTCATTTCCCCTGGAAATAACATCAGAAGTGCGCAGATATTGGAGAAGGGCAACATGACCTGTAGCACTAGTCCCTTTTGAGAGGAAACGCGCGCCCGAGTGAACGGCCGTTCTCGAAGCACCCCAGTCAGTTGGTGACTTGGACTCTTGCTTGATCGTATCCGGTTTCCATCCGTCGTACTGACAGGATCACGGTGACAAATCAGGCTGCGAAAGCCATTACTGCGAGACCTCAACGTATCTTATCCACAACCCAAGCAAGCTGTTGCGTCTCCTACAAGGCACTGATCCGATACCCATTTTCCAGGCCGCTTTTTGGCGGAGCTGACGAAGGAGGTGTTGAGCGATTTGGCGGCGAGCAAGCACCAGATGGCGCTGTATTGCTTGAAGAACTCTGAATCCCTCAACTGCGCACACCTTGAACCTTGGCTAAACCCGACTCCCTAACCTTTTTCAGGCCGGTTTTTGGCGGAGCTGACGAAGGAGGTGCTGAGCGACTTGGCGGCGAGCAAATACCAGATGGCGGAGTACCGCATCTCCATCTACGGCCGCAAGCAGAGCGAGTGGGACCAGCTCGCGTCATGGATTGTCAACAACGACCTCTACTCCGACAACGTCGTCTGGCTCATCCAGGTAAAAACTGCCTTCTTTGAGTCAGTTTTGCTTGTCTGTTGCTTGTGTTCCTCGCTCTGCCCTTTTCCTGTTTCGGTTTTATTTAAAAACAGCGACTTTACCTGGATCGTCAACAACGACCTCTACTCCGACAACGTCGTCTGGCTCATCCAGGTAAGAAGTGCCTTCTTTGAGTCGATTTTGCTTGTCTGTTGCTTGTGTTCCTTCGTTCTGCCCTTTTCCTGTTTCGTTTTTATTGAAAAACAGCGACTTTACCTGGATCGTCAACAACGACCTCTACTCCGACAACGTTGTGTGTCTTATCCAAGTAAGAGGCGCCGTATTCTGATCTTTGATTCTCGCTCGTCTTTCGCTCGTGCGTCCGTCCTTGCTTGGTTCCCAACGGTTATGCTTAGGGGTTGTACTGTCCGTTTTGAAAGACCCTGACCGTGATGGAACAAGGGTTTAATCACCTTTTCTTCTCGATCGTAGATTTTGAAAATACAGACTATGCAATAAGGGCATCCCAGCAGTCTTTTCTTTTGCTAGTTGAATCAAGTTTGAAAGTAAAGCAGCATTTTCTGATTTTGTGACTGACGCCGTCAGATGTACGTTACGGTGACATCGGGCACCCTTTGTTCGTTCACAGACCCCAGACCTTCATCACGAGATAACTACGATCGTTATTGAGGGTGATCGTGAATGATGTATTGTGAACGAAAAAGCCCTTGTGACGTTGATTGTTGTCGCTCTCTAGCCAGCTGCCCCGGCCGTTCCACGTGTACAGGAGATCGACATCATAACAAGAGATCCCGTGACGTCAATGATGACGGCTTCTAAGTATTGGAACCCTAAACTCCAAAACCCTAAAATCGTAATACTCCAAAGATTTTCCTCCTCTAGCTGCCCCGACTGTACAGCGTGTACAAGGAGATGGGCATCATAACAAGCAGCCCTGAACTTCCGCTGATGACGTCAGTTTTTTTTTGAAATGCTAAAACTTCAAAACCTTATTATCGTCTCCCCCCTCCTCTAGTTGCCCCGGCTGTACAACGTGTACAAGGAGATGGGCATCATCCAGGACTTCCAGACGATGCTGGACAACATCTTCATCCCGCTCTTCGAGGTCACCGCCGACCCCGCCTCCCACCCGCAGCTCCACGTCTTCCTCCGCTCCGTGAGCCGCCGCCCTTATGAATGACTTTCTTTTCTTGTCTTTTCTGAAGTGCCGCCTTTATGACTGACTTCCCTTCCTTTTTTCCTTCTTCTTCCCCTTGATTGGAGGCGTTGTTGGGCCACGAAATGGAAGGCGACGCTTTTTTCTTTCTTTCCTGTCTTCCTTTCTGCAATTGAGCTTAAAGAGAGCAGCTCCAAGTCTTCCTGCGCTCCGTTAGTCGCCGCTCCAGAGACCGACTTTCTTCTTTCTTCTGCCTCACCTCACTTGATTTCATGATTTTGTGGGCTACAAAAAGGGAGGCGTCTCTTTTGCTGTTCTTCTCTGTCTCTTTTTGGCATCGTCCTTGCCTTTCCTTCCCCTTCGGACCATGCTCTACTGCGTGAGCAACGCTCCGAAACTGACTCTTCTATCCTGTTCCTTCGTTTCCCTTCGCCGACCTGCCAGTTCCAACTGAGTCATTCTCCTCCTTCAGATCTCGCTGTCCTTTGCTTCACTTCGGGGGCGTTCTGCTGCGTGCTCCGCTGCTCCCCATTTCGCTTCCTTATTATGCTTCAGTATCGTCGAGTCTTTCTTCCGGTTTGGTCACCTCCTGGTTGCCCGCTGCGCCATTTCCTGTTGTACGGTATCCTTCCTGTCGTGTTACTTTTGAATTTCCATCATTAGTGGCGGTTCCAGAACCTAATGCGTGCTCTTTGAACCGTGGTTTGTTCCTCTTTCATGTGTAGGTAGTCAGATGTTCGATTCTTTTCACAGTGTCAGTTGTCACTGAGTATTCAGGATTTGAATGTGAACTTTCGTGGCGACGAAGATAAGTAAGGTCCCTTGTGCAGGTCGCCAGCTTCGACAAGGCCATCAAAAGAGCAGGCTGGAGCGGTGCTCCTCAGACTTCAAGCAAACACAGCAAAGCTTCGTTTAATCTTCGCAAGTGCTTCAGATGAATGGCCTTCCAGAGAACTTCGCATCATGCGGATCATCCAAATAGTCTCGTAACTACAAACAGTTTCGTTCTGCACAGGTCGCCGGCTTCGACATGGTCCACCACGAGAGCAAGCGGGAGCGGCGCCCGACAAAGCACATACAAACGTTGCTGAATGACAGCGAATGCAAACAATCTGGATACTGCCTTCCAGAAAGGTGCAGAAGATCAAAGGGTTCGATGAATTGAACAACTTCGTTTTGCACAGGTCGCCGGCTTCGACATGGTCGACGACGAGAGCAAGCCGGAGCGGCGTCCGACAAAGCATATGCAGACGCCGGAGCAGTGGAACAACCCGTTCAACCCCGCGTACTCCTACTGGGCCTACTACGTGTGGGCGAACCTCACGGTGCTGAACCGCTTCCGCGAGAGCAAGGGGTATACCACGCTCACCTTCCGGCCGCACTCTGGCGAGGTGAGCAAATGTCGTGTTTCCTTTTTCTAATCATATGTTTGTCAGAATTTGAGAGATTCCCCGTTTAACCTCGCCAACACAGGATAGGGGTTTTTACGTTTGGGCAGATTTTACGTTGCTGAACCGATAAGAGGAGAATCCCTGTTTAACCTTGCCAATACAGGATCGGGTTTCTTCCGTTTGGGCAGATTTTACGCTGCTGAACCGATAACAAGTCGTCAGGAAAAGGGAGGAACAACCTACTCGAAGTCGGCCTAAAGTAACGGGGCTTACTACGTGTGGGCGAACCTGACGGAGTGCGATCGATTTCGTGAGAGCAAGAGGTATTCTACACCCACGTTTCGGCACAGGTTGTCGCCCTGTTGCTGAGACGAGATTTGCACACTGCCTTTTGTATCAGCTAGATTCCTCATTCTGACATGTGGCTCCGCTTATCGCGCAGGCGGGCGACATCGACCATTTGGCGGCGACGTTCCTGACGTGTCACAACATTGCGCACGGCAACAACCTACGCAAGACGCCCAGCCTGCAGTACCTCTACTACCTGGCGCAGGTAATACGCAGGTTTTGGGACAGAGTTTGGGGTAGGCGTTGAGCAGGGTTCAGGCACCTCTTAAACCGGTGCCCCTGCACGGAACTTAGGTCAGAGATGAGGACAAAGTCTCTGTTAAGGTCTCCATTCGGGTGCATAGAAGCAGGTGTGGTTTTGAGGAGGTGCAATTGGAGACTGTCCCGGAGCATGGGTAACTCAGAATTAAGCAAAAGAATGCCTGGCTGGAAGCAAACGTTCCAGCGTAGGCAACGAGCTCGACAGCTGGGATGTGCATGCGGTCGCGATCAAACTTGTTCTGTGGTTCTGAGAGACCAGATGTCCCCAATGATGCGTCACTGTCTTCTTCTGGGCAGATGATTTTTTTGTTTTAACTGCTTATTTTCTCGCGCTTTTCCACACACCGGGCTGATGATGTCGCTCTTCACACAAACTGGTTCTTGGACTACAACCAGAGTCCATAGTCAACGTTCTGTTCAACATTCTGATTGCACGAAGGTACACATTTTCGAAGTGCGACTGCCAGTGCTGACAACCGCGTTCCTTTCCTTCCGAAGATTGGCCTCGCAATGTCGCCCCTGAGCAGATCCCATTCCTAGACTTTGTTGACGAATGTTTGAACAATATCAGCAGACTAACTCCGGATCGTTCTACAGATCGGGCTGGCGATGTCCCCCTTGAGCAACAACAGTCTGTTCCTGGACAACCACCGCAACCCGTTTTCGACAAATATCCTCAGCACACTAGACACAGTCGTCCGGCAGAACCCATTCCTAGCCTCTGTTTACGAATGTTTGAACAATATCAGCAGACTGACTCCGGATCGTTCTGCAGATTGGGCTGGCGATGTCCCCGTTGAGCAACAACAGCTTGTTCCTGGACTACCACCGCAACCCGTTCCCGATGTTCTTTGCGCGCGGCATGAACGTGAGCCTGTCGACAGACGACCCCCTCATGATCCACCTCACCAAGGAGCCGCTCGTCGAGGAGTACTCCATCGCCGCCCAAGTGAGCTGCAGCCCCGAACTTAAAAATTGCGTATTGTTCGTCAAGACAAGCTCAAAACACGGCCTCCTTCCAGCGGAACGAGGCCGCTTTAAAAACGTTTAACCGTGAAGCAGTAACCCCTCTGGAGATCAAAGATCGTTGGATTCCTTTTCAGCATGAGGAGGGTCAGCGTAGAAGGAGTCTGCTGATCATGTCTTCTCGCCTGGTAAGGTCCCGGTTTTCCTTGTGTCGTCAGGTTGTATCATTTGCCGGCTCGTTTTGATGGCTGTGGATTAGATCGGCGGCTGCAAATACTCGTGATTTCGTGGCTTTTTCTTTGGAATCATGAAGACAAAAACCGTAGCAAATCCTGGGGCGTTTGTCTTTTCTGGTGACTTCACCTTGGCGCGTGCATTTGAGCACGACCCAATCAGAAGATGCTTGTGAATCAGCAACCGCTTCGCCAACCGATTCTGCTCGCGCACTTTTCCCTTCCAGGTGTCAAAGCAGAGCTTGTCGCGACCTGGCGCAGAGACAGATCACGCCTTTGTAACACTCGCCTGCCACCTGTCAATGTCAAAACTCGTGCACTTTGTCCCTCCCAGTAGTGGCGTGCGACCTGTGGGAATAGAGCGCACATTTGTCCTTCTCGCCTTGAAAGCCTGCACGCTTTGTTCCGTCAGGTGTGGAAGCTGAGCGCGTGCGACCTGTGCGAGATCGCGCGCAACAGCGTGTACCAGTCGGGCTTCCAGCACGACGTCAAGGCGCACTGGGTGGGTGACAAGTACTACCTGCGCGGGCCGGACGGGAACGACATCCACAAGACCAACGTGCCGCACATGCGCGTCGAGTTTCGGCACGAGGTGAGTCTGGGGCTTTGAGTGTTGAGGTATTTAGGGTTTTGGTCCATGGCCTTTGAGGACGACACCCAGAAGATCAACGTGCCGCACATGCGCGTCGACTTCTGGCAGGAGGTAAGTTAAGGTTGTCCTGGTCTAGGTTTCAAGGGTAGAAAGGATCGTGGAACCACGTACACAAGACACGAATGTGCACTGAGATAGGTGGAGGTGACCGGGAGACTGATACTCAGAATACTCAATATTGCCACTACTACTACTAAAACTACTAAAGGACTTTCAACGTTTCATGGTTTACTGGTTGAAAAGCTTCGCTTCGATGGGATTGAAAAGGGCAAGGGACGAGTGAACTCTTCTGAATTGAAGCGGCTTGAAGGAACTGTGGGGAAGGGCCAAGGGACTCCAATCGCTCGCCTTACCTTATCAGTTCACCGAGACTCCATCTTTTGCAGACACTGTTGCCTTTCTCATTCTCTAGAATGCTACTATCGTCACCAGAAGGACTTTGGACGTGATTCATCTGCCAAGGTTAGTAGACGCGAAGACTCATTCAACGCTTTCCGTGCAGGTGTGGGAGGGCGAGTTGCAATTCATCTACTTCAATGAGGCGGACATCCCACAGGAAATTGACTGCTGACACGTGGAGCTTACGGCGAGCTGGCGGGCCCTCAGATTCTTTGCTTATGGTCCTATCAGTAACCATACATCCAGTGCCGATTGTACATAGCTTTTGCTGTCGAAAGGTAGATATTGGAGCCATGGCGAGCTCCTAACCGATTGTGAGGCGGTGATTGGTGATTGCTGGTGATTTGGCGTGGCCTGAGCGCTGTCGGCAGCAAGTTTTTGTACAAATGACTCGATTGAACACTCCAAGATGGTATCCATTTGTCTGTATACAGCAGCTGACACCCGCTTGCTCTACCCACAACTTCTCGAGCTTGTCATTGGTACACATTCTTCTACTTTATACAGCCGCTATACGACTGGTCACGTCACTGGCAATGACGGGGCCATGGCTGCAATGTTTTCAACCAACTTATCAATCAATAACCATCCAGCAAAAACCGTGGGAAGAAACTTGTACGTTATCCAGAATGTTGGCGCGCCAAAGATCAGTAATTGCATTAAAGTGTGCAAATCAGACCTTGCTTCCGGTATTACACCTTTACATGCAGCATGCATGCTACATGGCATGGTCGGACTAGGATCGGTGTAGTTTCCCTGGGAACTATTATTGCCGTTCGCGGCCACCTCTGCTGCACGGCCATGTGTGCAGCAGACGCATGCTGCATTGACATACCGCATTCGAAATGGGCTCGATACTTGAATGCGCATCATTGTATCTCGAATTAAGTAGACATGCATGCATGCCTGAATCAAGATAGCTACGAGCATTGTAATGAAGCATGCATGGAGTCAATGCATTGGCCACACAAAGAAAAGTGATATAGTCGATATCGTACCGAACAAGCCTCACTAGCTGAATCGAGTGCGAGACACAATATCATGCCAAAAGCAACGGAACAAGTACACAATGCCACAGCGCAGCTTGGCAGGAGAAACTTTTGCACTGACAAACACGAGACTCTTGTTGGCTGGCAAAGCAAGCCTGGCGGTCGTCTATTTTACACAAGCAACTTGTCCAGATCACAGGCCTTTTGACTTTGGAACTGATACGTATGGACTCTCCGCTTTCCCAAACCAAAGTCCAACAAGCACCGTTACATGCAAGGCCAGAAGCAGAGCCGAGGAGGCCGGAGTCGATGGGAAGACGTTCCAGCAGTACTCAATGCCGGCCCAGAGGATCAACCTGCGCAATCGAAAGATCGAGTTGGACGTCAGAAATAGCGCATACAAGCAAATATGATAAGAATCTCACAAAAACGTCTCATCGAAGTCAGACAGAGGGGCTCTGACACCCTGCTCGCGCATTCCAAACCAATCAGCGTGGCACTTGTCTTGATCCACAAAGAAGAGATGCAGGACGCAATCTACAAGGGGAGAAAATTGCTAAGACAAAAGACGACGAATGGCAGTGACTATCTATTCTTGTTCCCACATGTCTGACGAGGGCAACGTTTCTTACCGAGCAAGAACTGGAAACGGGCACCGCCAAAGTAGGTACGGCAGCATATGGAAGTACCTGCAACAAATCCCTTCAATGAGTGCAAGGTTGGGTTGCTTTAAAGATGTGCCCAGATCTCGCTATCCTGCCCGTTTGGACGAAGCGAGATTCAGCAGAATGGCGGTGTCGAATCGAAGGCGCCGCCATTTATGCGCTAACTCATGAACGCTAAGTTGGTCAACGAAGGCCATACACTCTTCTCGAATTTGGAGTTCAGCAGCGACAAGGATCGCTCAACTTATTCAAGAGGACTCGAGAAACCTCAAGAGAATTAGTTCTCTCAAGCTAAGGTGGAATTGCGTGACACAGTACTCCGAGTAAGATGAAGAAGCAAGGGAAGCTGACTCAATTGAAGAGAACCAAAAGGAGCCAAAGTCGTCTGCTTCGACCTGATAACACTGCAAAATCAGGGACTACCGCAACTGAGAAAGAAAACTAGGGCGAAGGCGCTTGCGGCAAGGCTTACCAGGAGTAGAACTGGTAGTGCAAGGTCCGGGCGCAGACGATGCCGATGAAGTTGGCAACGAACATCACCGTCGTGACGTCTGTCCACATAGAGCACGACACGTGGCACGAGATCAGGCACTCTCCAGATTTGAATCACTGCCAAACCGTACAACTCCAGCTCAAGCTGACTAGCGATCAACTGAGATGCACTCCTTTGTAACCAGGATTCTCACCATTGCCGGATCACAATATGCCACAAAGACGTGAAACATCGAGAGCAAAGCTGAAGGATGGCGACTCACGCGCAGCAGTGACGCGGCTTCTCGCGGGCCCAGCTGTCTGCTGAGACTTGACGGTCTGGACGATCCCGCCACTTGATCTGCAGTAAAAGAGGCGTGATCAGCATGTCGGGCGAATGGACCGGCGCCAGTTCAGACGGGCATGGTTGCGACCGCAGGTGTTGCAGGGACTAAGGAGTCGAAACAGACCAAAACGTGATGGACCACGTACTCAGAACGCAGACAACCTGATGACCCCTCAAAAGCAAAGCTCGTCGTCAGCAATATGCGGCCGACATCTGCCTGATGACATTGAACCAGAAGAGAAACATGGACAGCGCCGACGAATCGGAATCATTCTCACAGATGCAGTGCCCTCAGGTACTAAGCGGATATTTGTCAGCAGATCGCCCCGAAGGGGCGCTCAGAAATAAGCATAAGGGTATCGTCACAGGGCACTCCTCAGCAAATGGAACGCAACAGGAACCGAATCAAAAACCTGGCTCGCATATCTACGTGGAAGAGTAGAAGCAAGGCAACCAGTAGCGCACTGAATCAAACCTTGTAAGGTCCGACAAAACAAAGACGCAACCAAAGTAAAGAGGAGGCAGTAAAGTTCGTCCGAGAATGCAATCGGCTGTTCTGGTTATTTGCTTGCCCTCAGTCAATAATTAATCAGCGGTTTGGTTGACAGCATTCGCCCTCCGTGGAGGGGTCGCTCAGTCGAAAGAAGATGTTTAGCATCATTGGGCAAGCTTGAACGGTTCAGGTTTACGATCTCCTCACAAACACAAGCAAACAAATTCCAAATCAACAATCGTGGAACACAGAAAGTACGGTGTATCAAACTTTCAACACTAGATCACTCCTTGCAGCCGGCCTGCGGCTTGTGTGTCAGAAGAAGTTCCATATGTTATCAGCCCTGTCGAGGACCGCGGCCCTGGCTCTGATGACCGTCGTGATACGGGTGTCTCATCATCCACTAGCTGCAGAGGCCTCGAGTGTTACAACCGAGCGAGCAAAGAACTACAACAGGTCAGATCACGGCAAACCGCTTTTCCTGCGAGTCGCATAGAAACCCTGCACATCAGCTGCGAGGACTCACAACTTGAAAACGGCCTTGACAAACCCACAAAGTCAAAAGAAGGCATCGGCATACTTTGCAAGGTGCATCGAACTCGCGAGCTTCTATGGTTCTGAAGGCCACTAATCATTCTGTATTTTATTTCCTCCAACTTCTGAGACATTGTTTGACACCCCCAAGACCCAAGGCTATTCTCCGGTTCTCTCAGACAAATGCCTCGAATTAACGTCTTCGCCACCCGCCTTGCGGCAGGTGGCTGGCCTGACTGACGGCCCGAAACTGCCACGACCGCAAAACGCGGCCGCAGCAGGCCAGGCCACCAGCAGAACCAGCTTGAGCTCAGTCTCGTCATCGATAATCATCACCGAGATCAGGAGTGCCTTAACGGTCAGATCTGCTGCCACAAGAGAGTTGGCTTTGCAATAATCTGCTTTGAGAATCGAGCTATCCTGCTTGAAAAACAAATGAAGGAGTGATCGAGACCACCGACGAGCAACCAAAAAAATCTTCACACGAAAAGTCAAGACTTTGAAAACCCAGGCAATCCGGTAGTCATTGTCCGACTCGCTGAGTCTAACAATCATCAAGGCATAGGATCCGGATTGTCCTAGTTTTCTACGACCGTTGAATGACCGAAGATGCTCCGAAGCACCGAACAAGCACAAAGCGAAGAGCAACACAGAAAAGAAGGGGGGAAATGGAGAGGCCTCCACTGTGCGTCAGGGTTAAAAAGCTCGATTTCGTGTGTTTCATCAGCGAATCAGCGTTGGATTTGGAAAATTCATCACTCGCAAGGGGAGGCCTCGTCGAACAGACTGACAGCAGAAAAGGAACTGCATATACAAAGCAAGGCTTCTAAGAAAGCAGACGAAGGCATGCAGACTGAAGGTCGATAGAGGAACCCGTCGCAGCCTGGGAAATCTTCGACTGGGAGGTCGAAAGCAAGCACTGAAAGCAAAGTACTTGAAGCGTCAGCAGACTGAGCTGCAACGACATGACTTTGAGACACATAGATAAATCCGCAATTGCAGCCAAAAGTTGGGTGCGCGAGAGTTGATGCAAGAAAACCAAATTCTTCAACCTGAAGCGAAGTACACCCGCAAGTAAAAATTCGACCAGGAACATCAATTAAATCACCTGCACCATCTGTAGTTGGCGAAGAGGAAGAGGAGGCTCAGGTGTAGGCCCAGCAACAGAATGGCGAGCGGCTTGGACAGGAAGATGTCCTCAGGCAGGAACTTCAGATTGACAGACCTGAAGGTGGTGAGCTGAACAAATTAGCATTTGATAACCACAAGACAACCAAGGGGGACATAGAAGAGGCTCAACCAGGAAGTATCAAAAGTACTGATGCACTGCTTAATTGCAACTCTAAACTTGGTTCCAAGCGGCATCAATTTAAAAAGGCAGTGTCTGCTGACCTTACTGCCAGTGAGCGCTGCATGGAACCAAAGGGGTGGTTTCACCAGATGCAACGTAACCATGCATGAGGGGCAGACACGTTGATTGCAAAAGGGCAGAGGTGTGTAGACCAGCCACTATGCTGCAAGATCTGCTGAATTCCAGGACCATTGCCAGCATATCACTGCCTTCAAAGACTCAAAACTGCGATGTACAAGCTGTTTCCTGGAGCACTTTGCAATGGTTTGCTCACCAGTGATGGATGAAGACGCGGCTAAGCTCAAATGATCGGGCGATGTAGGACCAGGGATATGTCAGTAGGAAAGGCAGCCCCAGGACCACCTGAGATACCGAAGAAGGCTCTTTGAAATGGATCGATGTTGCTGAAATCGTAGCCAATGTTGCTGTACGATATGAGCAAAAGGTAGCCCCCAATAATCCCTGACAGACTGATGAGTTTCATTGCCTTCAAAAGGGGGCCCCAGAACCAAGAAAAACAAGTATGGGGAACAGTGGGACGCCCGCTCCTGATATTGGTCGAGCAACCCACGCGTTGCATGGTTGCCTAGAGAAAATATTTGCATGTTCTACAAGGAAAATAATGATCTTCGACCACCTATCGCATCAAAATAAAGAACATTCCAGCAACTCTGACCCTTATCAAGCCTTGCACATCCATAGAGGTAAGTGGCGCTCAACTCCAACATTTTGAATGATCCCTGCAACAAAAACGCAGCGTCATTCCTCTGCTGTTCTTCCACAACTCCCTACCTGAAGAGCTGCAGCAACCCCCAGCGCCAGTGCAACCTTCAACAGCGATGTGTCCTGCACATGGACGAACCAATGTCAGCATGAAGGTCGAAGTGCATAAACAAGTGCACAAAAGTGGGGGAACGTTAACAGCGTGGTCTACATTGAAAATCAACGATATTTATAACCAGATCGGTTTGTTACAACGGTACAGAAACAACAGGTTGTGAAATGAGTTGGATCCACTTAGAGCAAGTCCAGATAAAAGCTGAGGGCTCCCTGAAAGGAACAATACAACAATCATGCCGATCACAAGCTGGACTAACCTTGAGAAGAAGCAGTAAAAGCGCAGGCGCCATAAGGAGGATGTTCATCTTGACAGAAACAGCTGCACTGCGACAGGGAAATGTAAGAGGGCATTCATAAAGTAGGATGGAAGACCTGTCCAAGAATTCAAAGCATTGAACTCAAAATGTGAATGGTTCCACAGAAACTCTGGGAGTGAGCAGCCATCTTACATGAGCAGTCCCCTTTAATACTAAGGAAACAGATCAGCACAGATTGTCAGAAACAAAGTAGCAACAACTTGCGATCAAATCCCGAAACCAACTCAAGGTTCTTCCCGACAAACCAGCTGTTGCTATGTGATGTAGATGACATAACTGCCAAAAGCAGCCAATGAACTGTGCAGATTCAGATGCATTTGTCTGTATGAAAGTGGGAGGCGGCATACCTGTACAACAGTAGTCCCAACAACCAACTCCGCCTTTGGAGCAGTGCCATAGATCCATACAGCAGCGTCATGGCCCAGCAATCATTGAAGAGGCGCAGCACGAAGATCGAGTGCACTCGCTTTGACAGGCACAGCAGTACGAGTGCCCACGGCGGCACGGCCTGGGATTGCGCATACACTAAGAGAGCGAACGCCAGGTTCACAAGGTACAGGCCAATAAACCACAACTGCAGACCAGGAAAGGGAGTGTCAGAGAGACGACAATCACGCTTGGCAGACAGCCATTACCATAACCATTACCGTCAAAGGGAGAGAGAGCACAGGCAAGGACCAGCAATGATAAACGAACTCCACGAGCTGGTTATCATTGTGGAATCTGCAATACTGGCCTTGAGCATTCAAACAAGACTGAGAACATCATAATCCTCCAGTCACTCTTTGCTCACTTGTGCAAGAGGAACACTGCCGCCCGTGAATTGCTGCAGAGCTGTAAATATGTACAAGTGGCCAGCTGGATACACGATTGGCCCTGTCCCGCCTTTCAGTTCCTTGTAATCTCTCTCCCCACCAACAAACCCTGTGACTTGGGACATGTACGCCTCCCAATCAATCTCAGTATCTGCAGAAAAGAGGTGGGAATGCTCAAGAAGGAGTTGCAGCATTGCATTGTGTTGAAAAGCGCCCTTGGAAGTTTAGCTGCAACAGCACAAAAGGTGGTGAACACAGCACCGCAGTCACAACACAATGCAATTTAACAGGTGGCAGGGAGGCCTCCCTCAAGCATATGTCAAATACATCACTTACTGAAAACCAAGCCAAATGAGACACATCGGACTTACATGGAACTTTCCAAACGATGGCTGAGCATAGCACAGCCTCCAGAGCCAAAAGCCCCAGGGACACCAGCAACATGACGCGCCCATCCCGAGGATTGTTCAGTCCTCGCCAGAGCTGCATCAGAGGACCAGACGACCCCTTGCTCCTTTCTTGCGCCATTCGAGGCGCCATCTCTTCCTCACATTGCTCGCGGTATCAAGCTCGATCAAATGTTGAAGCTGACAGACAGTGAAGTCTTCCCTCTAGAGTCTTGCACGCGCCGTAAATGTCTTGACACTGTACTCTCGTTGGCTAGTCCAACTTCACCGTAAAAACTGGATTTGAGTGTAATTTGTGTGTACAAGTTGAAATTGGTGGCGCGGTCGTTCCGTGTACATGATTCCGGTCCCTTTCTGGAACGGAAAATATTTTTCCGACCGATGATTGGCCACGTCGACTTGAGCTCCCGAACGCAAGTCCTCAGCCGGTCATTGCACCGACCAGTGGACTTCCAAGCCGGTGCATCTCACCCCGGGCGCTGCCTGACTTCTTGAACCCTGATTCTGTGCGCGGAACGCCTACCGAGTGAAAATTTATGCCTACATCAGCACGGATAGGGCTCGAGACTCATCATAAGCTGAAGAGGAGCAGCACATCTTCACTCTAGACTCTAGAGTCTAGAGTCTAGCCCGTGTCCCAGCATTCAGGAATGATTGTGGCGCTGTTTGTCTTGTCGTCACTGCTCGTCAGCTGCTTTCAACTTCAAGTTTCTGCATCAGACTTCAGCAGCTGATTGCGCAGTGGTGGATGCAGATCTCTTCTGCGCCCGTGAATAGACCGTTGCCAGAGCTCTATTTACCTACCTCCTGTTCGAGTCTGCACATTTCATTGGGCGCTGTCTGGTTTCATCGTTTTAGGTGTGAATGTGGTGAAAGCTCTGCTGCTTCAATGAGCTGGCGGCAGAGATCAATCTTCTAGAGGACTCTCTGAGCCATCGAAGATAGTTGAGCTGAAGATTTGTAGCGCACATCAGTTTTGGGTTCCTTCCAGGTTGTACTAGATGTAGCTGCTGGTTCTTGTCGAGCTGACTCAATCACCCTAAAAGCGCTCTGAAATGAGACAAAATGGCTACCGCTCGCTGCACAAGCAGCCTCAATGCAACAGTGCTGGCGAGGGCTCCCGAAGTCCGCAGAAGGACCCGAACAGCAGGTTGCGGCGGCGCTGCAAAAAGGCTTCTGCACTGCTATCCCGGCAGCCTAGCTTGTACCACTTCAGGAGCTGAGCGCGGGCTTGCTTCGTTGGAGTTACCTAGGAGCCTTCCCAGATCAAGATCGCCACCCTGGGGTCTTTTGCAGAACTTTGCGGGCGACCGTGGCGTCGATCTTTTCTGCGAGGTTGGGAGGCCAATCTGCAGAAAACCAGATGGACATGGTTATTTTGGAAAGCCTGAATGCAGCAGGCATGACACGGCAAAGGTTGGGGGGCGCGCAGCATTTTTGAGAGGGTCACCAGGATTTAGAGTTAGATGCAAGCGGAGGACCAAGACAGCGGTGTCTTGCATTGCGCGTCAGTCAAGAGATGGCCATAAGCTCTTTAGGAGCCATAGAACGCTCAGTCGCCCAGGGTTTTCGAAGAGCACATGGGTGTGGCAAACCAGCGGACTCGGATGTTTGCGGCGCGATGCACAAGTTCAGGAGAGAAGAGAACGGAGTCTTCGGGTGTGCTGTTCGACGGGCCTGGTGATCACAACAGCAGACTATGGGGCGGAGGGCTCGAGTGTCTGGTTGGAAGAGGAGGTGCAAGACTTCGGGTTGAACGAGGACGTCATTCTTGCGAATGTGCCGGTTCAGTCCAAAGAGGAGCAGGAGAAGCTGGCGCGGACACCAGCACATCCGCAAGCGCTTCGATGTGAGTGCTGAGTATTGTGTTGCAGTTTATTTTCAAGAGTCCTTATGGACCATGATCTATGTTGATCTGTTTTCTGGTTATCTTGTATATCGCCAAGGAAGACTTAGGCCCTCTTTCATGACTTGAGTAAACAGTGGAACTCATTGGGGCACAACAGTCACTGGGGGATTCGAGATGCAACAACAAAGGATTTTAGTTTCTGTGTTCATGTCTCAAGGGTTGTCTCATGTGTTCGGCAAAGTGCTTGGGAGGCAAACGTTTCTTGATATGAAGCCAAAGGTGCCTGTACAGTTAGATAGACAATGTTAGAGTGGGGTCTACCCCCGATAACATACTTGCCCCGTTGCAGTTTCTAATCCGTCTGCCATGAATGTACTATCCAACAAACTCATTAGTTCTTTGTTGGTTTGCACGGAGACCTTCTTTTTCGTTTTCTGCAAGTAGTTGCATCTTGGCAACAGTCCTAACATCTCATACTAGCGGAAGCGCATCTTCAAACCACTTCTTCAGTTCCATTTTCACACTTTCGAGTGTTTGGTTTCAAGTTCGCCGCGCATCCATGGATTGTCCGGTCATTTCAAACTTCTTGCTTTGAAGGATTCCATAAATTTCAAAAGGTTGGCAGCATCTGGCAATACCAGAAAACCTTGTTGTGATCCGTAGTTCCTCATATCGTGTGGACGTTTCTTTTTCCGCTGAACCTATTTTGGCTTTGCCGGCATTCTTCACCTCTCTGCTTTGCTATCCCCGCCACTGACCAGGTTCTGACTTCTCTGGTTTTCTGCAGGGATGTTTGCTGCTTACACCGCCAACTGTACGGCTGAGCGAACGTTTCGGTTTGCGGTTCCAGCAGTGATTGGGCTCCTCAGCAACAGCTTGTTACCCATCGCTATCATCAGTTTTGCGGGACAGGTACTTAATTCTGACTATGACCCAAAGGTTGATGAGAAAGTGCGAAAAGCGAGATGTGCTTGTAGATATTGAACGTTAGCGGGTTCCAAGTGCTAGTTTTCGAGTTTCTCACAAACCTGGAAGCGAATAGTGCGTCAACCAGTGCTCTTGCCAGTCTGCTTTCACAATCCTCCAGCAGCCACCAGAGCCCCTTGAATTGGCTAGACGTAACAATGTTTTTTGGGCTTTGTACGTGGGGCCCTACGTTTTTGGATTTACAGAAAGTTACAAAGATGATGGTGAAAGCTCGTGTAGCCACTGTCGTCAGCATTCAAAAACCCAGCCGCGATCGCCGGTGCAAGGTCGATTGAGGAGACTCTCTATTGGTTTTCAGGTCCATTTGCGGTTACTTTCTTTGTCCAGCCTCTCTTTATCCGACGTTCATGTTCCTTACAGGTGGGCGTGTTTGCGCTGGGCCCAATCATTGGAGACCTGCTGGATGAGACCCCCCGGTTACCTGCTCTCAGAATACTCGCCACTATGCAAGTGAGGAACCTTCTTCATGTGTTTGCTGCCCTGTCTACTTCCCATAATTTTTTGTGTCATGAACTGCAAATTGGTGTTTGTGCATGTGCTCTCCCCCTTAAGTTTTGGTCGCCCCTCTTACGCAGTGCTGAGATTTCAGGTACAGCCCATGCCTCTTACCAGGCCAGCTGTCTTGGGTGCCTGATTATCATATCACAGAAGTGGAATCAAAGGTCGTTGATGGCAACACTGACGCCTCACCTCTTCTTTGTCAAAAAGAGTCATAGGCACCTGTGTCAGTTTCCCAGCTCCTTTCTAGACGTTTGCTCTTTTTGACACTGTTTTGCCTTTTTTTGTTAGGTCACCTCCATGGTCGCCTCTGCGTGTGTTACCCTCTACGCCTTTCAGTCTGGCGCCTCTGCCTGTGCAACCGCTGGTCAACTCATCCGGCGGCCTTGGTTCATCTTCCTCACGTTAGCGGGGGTTGTTGAACGGTTAGCCGGGATTGGCTCGGGCGTTGCATACGAGCGGGATTGGGTGGTGCAATTGGCTGGGCCAAATCGACATATCGCTCTTGCAGGTAAGATTGTTTGTTGATTCGAAATGGGATCGAGGTACTTTCGAAATTATTTACAGCTCGTTTTCGAACAGATTACTTCTGCTCCGACTTCATCAAATCTACGTCATGGATATGCCACAACACTGCACTTGGACAAGAGTACACCTGTCTTTAGTAGGTAGTGCGATCCTGTAAAAATTGGATGCCTAGCTTTTTGGCGGAGAGTCGGAGGATGACGACAAGAATCTGTGACGTTTAACCATGAGCTGCAGGAACTCTTTGGGCCGGTTTCGAACCCACTTCGAAAGGTGTCACGAACCGGGGTAAAAATCGTCTCAAGCTGGTCCAAAGTTTTCTAATCCGTGCCGATATGTCTTCACCGCTCCTAAAGCCCTGTAACCTTCGTCTCTCCGCAGAGGCCAACGCGCTCCTTCGGCGGCTCGACCTCGGCTCCGAGATCTTCGGCCCGTTCTCCCTCGGTCTAGTTCTCTCCCGCTTCACCCCGGCCGTGTCCCTCGGGATCGCCGCCACTGCCGTTGCCGCCTTCCTCCCCCTCCAACTGTTCTTCATCCACCTGACCGACAAAATCTCCCGGGGGGCTCTCCGCCGGTACTCGCTCGAGCAGCGCGCGAGGGAAGGGACCCCCCCGAAACGGAAGAGCTTTCTGGAAGCGCTCAAGAACGGCTGGCGGTTATACCTGCAGCAACCGGTGCTCCCCGCGAGTATCGCGTACGTGATGCTGTTCTTCAACGCGGTGCTGTCGCCGGGGGGGCTCATCACGTCATTCCTCACGACGCAAGGTGCGCAGCTGCGGAAGTCTCTAGTCTGCGTCCTAGAGCATCTGTCATTTTGTTCTTCTATGAATTCTGACGAGACTTTAAATTCGCGCGGGGGGATTGAATAGATGTGGAGTTGGCGTGGTAAGGTTTGGGGCAGCAATCTGATATCTCTTTGGAAGTGCGCAGAACATGCTGCCCAACACCATTCTGGCCTGCGTCGTGGAAGGTGGCCCATTCTTAATAATCAAACGGAATTGTAATGAGTGAGTTACAAAAGATTGTTCAAGTGGAGACGCCTTGGCGTTCAGGCTCCTCGAAAAGTCTCAGCACGATGCGAAAGCTTTCTTGTCCAGCGCACTGCTTCTTTTTCGAAACAGATTGAATGAACAGAATAACCGCTTTCATCCTCGGCGGAGCCTCCGAATCCACGGCGGAGCACAACAAAGCTTTACTTGTGAGGGATTGGCGGAGCCAGAGATGAAGTGATCTGAGTCGGTCTTTCTTCTCTTGGGGGTTGATACTGGGTCGTACCACTTCATTGTCTGTGCTCTCAATTCGAGCACCGTTCTCTTTTTTTACCCTCTGATAGATACACCCAAAGCCCGTCATAAAGGTGGTCGAAGTCCTGTTTTCTCAGCCCCTGACTCGTTCCGTACGAATCGTGCAGGCATCAGCCCACAAGTGATCGGCGGCTTCCGTGGCGCGTGCGCGCTCTTCGGATTTGCCGCCACGTTCAGCTCCGCGTGGATCATCGAGCGCGTCGGCCTGCTGAACGCGGGCGCATTCGCACTCAGCTTCCAGGCGGCCTGCCTCGCCCTTTCCGTGGCAGTGTACATTGCCCGCCCGGCTGGCGCCGCGAGCGGTGCTTTCATGGTCGGGTTCCTGGCGCTGATTGTGAGTCCCTCCTTCCCTTGTTTCTTGCCCTTTCTCTTTTCGGCTCGTCGGCCAGTGTGACGAAGCACCCTTTCGAGAACGCATTGGACACCTCGGATTGGCCTGCGGCACCAAGCGAACTTCTCATTCCTAGGTTGTTTCAGTCGGTCCGTCTCATCCTTGAATTGTCTGCGTGGTTGTCTCCGAAGCGTCTCTTGTCGCCTTCAGGCCTTAGCTTCGCCAAAGTACATGATGTCTTTTGGCTTCGATGAAGGGCTGCCCTTCCACAAAAGATGTATGTAGCACGCGGATGCATTTTGATACCACTCTCCATTAGGTTAGCAAAGTTGACAAGGGAAGTCTGGGCCATCGGTAACGTGTGTCCATCAGCGGCCTTCATATTAGCTTGGTCATTGAACACCTAAGGAGTAGCTCTGTATTCCGTTTTCAGCCCGAACCAACCCGTTTCTGTGACCCCCCGTCCTGCAGGTGCTGTCCCGCCTGGGCATGTGGACATACGACGTGGTCGACACGCAGGTTTTCCAGACCGCGATTCCCGAGTCCCACAGCAGCGTAGTCAGCACCACGGAGCTCTCGCTGTGCAGCCTCGCCGAGCTGGTCATGCTCGGGGTCGCGATGGCCGCGGAGGACCCGCGCAACTTCGGCGCGCTTGCGGCGCTGTCAATGGCCTCGGTGGTGGGCGCAGCGGTCGTTTACTGCCGGTGGATTTCCCACCCGTGCGTAGCAAAGAAGGAGTTGTTTGGTCATGGGATGGAAGCCGAAAGGAAGGTTTCGAATGCGGCGTGAGAGAGATCAAAGAGGTATACATGGTGTGCATAGATATGCGCTGCGAAGATCAAGGTACATGTGGAGTCAGTTGACCGGTTGCTGAGTGAATGATAAGGGAGACGTGGCACATTGCCGCCCCCACACGAAAGCTGAAACGCAAATTGTACACCTTGAGACAGCCGGCTCCGCCCGAGAACACATGTTTATAAGCCGATTAGATTGTCAAACGTATATTTTCAGTAGAGAACATGGACGCCTCCACCGACTTTTATCTGTAAGCGTTGAAGCCTACAAAACAGTGAGAGCCTTGTCAGATTCAGAACTATGAAAGGAAGTTGTTTTCCGATCGCTTTCGCTTAAATCAAACGTGCATTTGAGTCTACCTCGCTGATGCCAATGAGTGCCTTCATAGGGCCGGAATCACCGGATGACTTATCGCATGTGCCACTCTGGCTCCGGCCATAATTGAATACCACTTGCCTGGTTGAATCCGCTCAGACAATTGCGAGGACATGTGGACCCGCGGGACCAACCCGTTTGCATCGAATGCATGATGATCATTGCAAATACACATGACGGTGTACCTATATGATATATGCAGCTTGCAACTGGCAAGCTATCAGGTCACCGTACGTGCGTTGCAGCAAACAACATCAGTCGTAGAGTGTTCAACGAGCTAGTGACCGCCACCAAGTCGAAGAGTTCTGTATCTGCAGAATGATACCTGATCAATCTCATCTTCGATTGCAGTGCTAGTCCGAGAACCGATGAGTACATTTTGAGACTCAAGACCTAGGACTCAAATCTGTTGAAGCACTCGGTTTTTCCTTTGCAACTTTGGACCCTCCCTATAGAGCAATTGAATCGAACCGAACTCGCTGAAAGTATGGACAGCACTGTTTGCGGTTTTTAAGCTACGGCCCACTTTGGTACATCCATGCACCCTGACGCTTCTTTTCGTAGCACAAAAGTACACCCGTTTTTGTTCTAGCTTTTCAGAACCACCTTCGAAGGACATTCTTGAGCAGAAACCTGAAGTCAAAGTCCTCCACGTACTGCCAAATAAGGTACTCATCGTCAGGATGTCCGCCGCAGTATGTGACAATCCCCACTTCCACCGAGAACCCCCGCGACTCCGCAGCAGGCGGATCCCAAGCCCTCAGGGCAGCCATTCTTGTCGTGAAACCTACGCTTCCATCCCCGTGGGGGTTCTTGAAGTAACATCTCATGCGCATCAAAGTCTGAAAGTGGTCCCACTCTACCCCCTCTCCATCCGACACGGCCCTTTTGGCTTCCAAACGCAGATGATAGGGGACCCCGGGCTTATGAACCTCCTCCATGCACATATGGTAAGGTTGTGCGCCCTGATCCTTCACAGTCACCGGCTCTTGGTCAAGCAGAACCTGCATCGCCCCGTCTGCCTTGCGCATGAGCCTCCATGAAAACAGGATTACGTCCTGTTCGAGCAGGCTCAGCCGCGCCGGGGCCTCTGAACGATACCCCTTATCATGGTGGTTCCTACCGACCTCCTGGAAAGCGGAAACGATGCGCTCCTGAGCTCCCGGTTCCAGCATCCCGGTTACAACCGCCATGCAGTTGCGATCTCCGTGATTCTCAAACTCCCAGTCTTCCTGGCGGCCTTGGAAATTCGGATCCATTTCGCTGCCCTCCGCTGAGCAGAACAGGAGGCCCTCCCCTCCGACGTGCACGTCCATCAGCATGACGTAATCCGACAGCTCCACCTCCTTTTTCTTACTTTTGGAGATGCATTCGCTTGCGTTGGAAACAATCTTGTCGCACCGCTGCTTCCCCAGCTTTGCGTAAAGCTGTTTGTGTCTGACGTCACCTTCTGCGCCATAGTGCGCGCGCACAAGCTCCCGAGCTGGGGAAGTCGTAAGCGAGGGGCACTCACGCTCGCACCAGGTCTTCCAAAGCAGGCTTGTGTCGATCAGCCCCTTGAGCGTTTTGGAACAGACTGCCAGCTTGCACGCTTCGTTCGGTGTAAGGAAGCTCAGCAGATGGTCCAAAAGTGGCGCGTCCAGGGCTTCCAACTTTCCTGTGCCTATGCGTCACCTGTCTCCCCTTTCGGCTAATAAACAAAAGCTGACGCTGCTGAGCAAATCAGCCTCATGTACTACTCCGGACTCAAATCTGGCTCTTCCTGCTGCAATTGGTCTGCGCTTTCAGCAGAAGAAGACAAGTAAGCTCCCTCCCAGAGCAGATTTTCTTGCTATGCCCTTGACCCGCATAATCACGCTGATCACCAGACGAATGGAAATCAACATGCAGCTCAAGTACTCATGCAGGTGTCTGCATATATATATATCAGATGGTACGTCAGCCTAGGTCCTACTAGGACGAGAGCACTTTTCAGGATACGTCTGGAGTATTCTCACAGCTTTTGCCAGCTTGTTCTAGAAGCCTCATGTTTCTAGCGTTGGCGGCCCGCAGCTGAGCTTCGACCTCGCGGCCGCAGTGCGCGGCCGTCAAGTATAGGCCCGCGGCCGGGCTGCTCAGAGGTTTCGGTCCGAACCTTAAGGCGACGTCGAGCAGTGCGCCCGCGGCGCGCAACCGTCATGGACAGCGCGGTCGGAAGCCCTCGCTCTGTGCTTGACACGTTCATTCTTCTTTAGCTAGTTTCGGCCGCCTTCACCAAAGCAACGCCTGCCAATCATGGAGACTTTGGATGGGCATGTCTTTGACCAGGTGTTGAAGCACCTTACAGCAGCTGAAGCCTGCAGTCTGGCCGTCCTCTCAAAGACTCTAAGAGCGTCAGTGGAAGAGAGCACATGCTGGAAGATTTGGTGTGAGCGCGACTGTCCTTCTCTGAAGACCTCGCCGGCAAAGGAGCTCGTGAGCGCGCACTACGGCGCGCGCGCCGCAGATTTTGGGCGCAGTGGTTACAGGAAGCTGTTTCTCAAGCTAGCAACTAAGGGTCGAAGCAGTTCCTTGGAAGAGACAGAATCCAGGACGTGCAATCATACAGGATTGGCAGCAAAAGAGTATATTGAATCCTCTGACTTTATCATGCTGATGGACGTTTGTTTAGAAGACAAAGGCGTCGTGTTTTGTTCAGCTGAAGGCGGGGATCTGGCCCCATCGGTCCAGGGCCTTCAAAAAGAAGTAGACCTTGACATGTGCAAGCAGATGTCCCGGGCGAAAGTGCGGAGTGCGAGCCCGAAGGACACCAATACTGGGACTTCACTTCCATGAGACGGTTTTTCGATACTGTACAATGTCAGCCGCCCAGTACGTCAATGGGGGATCTCTCCATCGCTGAAAGAGAGCTCAAGTGGAACGGCATGACTTTCTCCTGGAAGCTCATGCGCAAGAAAGATGGAAAGATCAAGATTCTGCTCGATCAGGCACCTGCGTGGGGGAAACTGCATGTGCTTCCGGGCGGGTCGAGCCGTTCAACTTCGTTCTTCTTTTCCTCCAGAGGAGACCTCAACAAGCTCGAGGCGGTGTCAAAATTCCAGGCTTCCATGTTCGCAAACTGGTGTTGGCCAAGCGAACGTTATTATCCGCGGCGCGGAAGCAACATTCCGAACATGAAAGTGTCCCGTGTTGCTGCAATCGTTGACGGAATGGTGGGCATTCGTGCTGAATGCGGAACGGACGTCAAATACCCAGATGAATTTTCGAACGTAGTCGAGTATCAGACTTCACTCGACTGGCTTTGACGAAGGCTAGCTAGTAGCTTTGACCATCGTTGCTACAATCTGGAGATGTTGTTTGCTGGCATACGCAGTGATGCAAGGGCCAGGCTTTTGAACGAACTCGATCGATATGACTGTCGCCATGCCAGATCGTATCATCCCTACCTGTTTCAGATGGCGACTAGCAAAGCCTGACCACCTTTGAGACCTGCTTTGAATCTGCTTATCGGAGTTTTCAAGTCCGCTTCCGGTGCACAGTAACGCCCATCGCAGGGTCTTTGAGTCTGTTGCGACTGGAAGTTTGGAAACAGTCTTTTGGCAAGAGGGCGGTTCGGTTCTTGGTGCTTTTGCCTTGCATCCTGACCGTTGTCACTTTGACTAAACCGCTTCTCAGCGTGCCCTGATGCCGCGATATACCACAAATCCTAGCTGATGAATGTCACGTGAGGTTAGTTGAAAATGTACTGGTAATGTCCACGGAACACTCCTCGGCTTGTCTAGAGATCCGCATCATGGAAGTCACGGTGATGCATAGGACTGTCGCCACTTCCGTTCATCACAAAACTCTCAGGAACATTCAATGCTTGGATGGACTACCTGGGGCGCTGAAGGGCAAATCAATGGACATTTGAAGCATGCGTCCAAGCGCAGGAACGAAGTAACGAATTTTGTCAGTCGATAAGCGTACTGTAAGTGCTAATAATGAGGCGATGTGACGAATAGTCAAACGGCTTCACGCTGTTACAACTCGGACGGCTGAAGCATCCAGAACAATATAAACAAGCCACCTTAGGATCCGGGTATACCTGTAGTAAATAACATCAGTCGTATCATGCACCAGAAGCTTGGCGCTTCGAGATTCGACACACTCCAAAGCTCGAATAAATCTGCTATTGTCGGTTGCTGAATGATACCGTGTCTTTGACCTTTTATTGTCTTAGGTGCCCGTACGAACGATTACGAAGCCCTTCTGGAAGAACAACCGCCTATAGCTAGCTAGTTGTCAATCTGATCATACCTTCAATGCCTCTGCAATACTCCGTCACATCCACTGGCGCAGCACATTCTTGAGTAGCATCTTAACATCCAGTTCGTTTGCAACTTGAAACTCGTTCTTCAAGTTCGTCCGTAACTCTGCGTTGAGATAGTTGCTACGTGCTATCCCCAAAACCACGTAAAATCCTGTCAGAGCATGGGGATCGTCAGCAACTCTCAAGTTCCTCCCGGGCCGCAGCTCCAGTGCCCTTTCGTCCGTCACGGTCTGACGGCAGCACAAACGCATCAGCGCCTGAAAGGTCGTCCATTCCGTTCCGCTTCCGTCACGCAGAACGTTGGCGGTTTCGAAGCTGCTCTCGCACGCCATGGGCTCATGAGCATTAGTCCGGCGAAAGCCAAAGTCTTTCCGGGATCGGACGGGCTTCCGGTCTAGCAGGATCTGAATCTTTCCATCCGTCTTGCGCATGAGCTTCCAGGAGAACAGAACGTTTCCTTGCTCGTACAGCGGCAAGTTCTGAGACGGGAGCCAGTGCGGCCCCTCGGGCACCCCGTCAGGATTGCCACTTGGAATCTGCTGTAAGGCAGAGCTCAGCTCGCGTTCCGCTTCCGTTGCAAGCGTTCCGTTCTTATCTTCCTTGCAGACATTCCTCACGGTGAGTTGCCAAGGCGACATCCAGCCTTCACGCTGGCGACCAAAGTCAGAAACCGTGCACTCTGTTGAACAAAACAGGAGGCCTCTACCCCCCACATACACGTCCATCAGCATGACGTAAGCCGAGAGCTCCAAGGGCGTCTCATCATTGCAGCTGCAGCTTCGCGCCTTGGTGTTCTTTAGCCCTGAGCGCCTCTTCGATAGCTTTAAAAAGGGCTGCTTGTAAGTGGCGCGCGCGCAGGCCGCGGCCCCGTAGTGCGCGGCCGCGAGCTCCCTTGCAGGGGAAGTCTTGAGAGAGGGACTATCTTCTTCACACCACGTCTTCCAGTGCAGGCTGTCACCCACCGCTTCGTACAGCCCTTTTGACTGCACGGCCAGCTTGCAGGCGTCCTTTGGCGTCAAGAAGCTCAGCAGGTGGTCAAACGTGGGGGCATCAAGGTGCTCCATCTTCCCCACAGTTGCCACTGCATCCCCCGTCTTTTAGATCCTGGGTGCAAACAGAATTCTGAGAGCAGTGTTACTAGCAAAGGGTTGCAAGACTGCTCCTTCCTCCGCCAATCTGTGCCTCTGCTTGCAGCCTAAAAGGTTCAGGTCCCTGAAGTTTGCAGAAATCAATATCCCGCAGCTACTTCATTTGCCCAGCCACTTTGCACACGTCCTCCGGCATAAGAACTTCAGCTGCTGGTCAAACTTCTGGAGTAGTGCGCTGCGCGTCAGAAAGCAGCTCTGGAGTCTGCCCCAACCGGAGCCGTTTCGACCTCGCGGCCGCAGTGCGCGTGAGGTTACTATGTACCGCTTAAATCTCGATCAAACCCCGGCCCTTCCGACCGGGGGTTTAGACGTCAAACCCCCGCGGTCGAGCACTGCCGCGGCGCGCGGCCGCCGACCGGGCCCGGGTGAATTCGACCGACAAAGCGGTAGTCTACAGTAGCTTGGACGCTTAGCCTTCGGGGCGCGCTCTTCAATTTCTGTGCATTCTCACTGCTCAGCTGTACATAAGCGCTGTGGAGAATCGTGCGGATCATGGAGATGCTGGATGCGTATGTCTCTGACCAGGTGCTAAGTAAAGTTACAGAAGCTGAAGCCTGCAGTCTGGCCGTCCTCTCAAGGACTCTGAGAGCGTTAGTGGAACAAAGCAGTGTCTGGAAGATCTGGTGTGAGCGCAACTGTCCTTCTCTGACGACCTCCCCAGCAAAGGAGCTCGTGAGCGCGCACTATGGCACACGCGCAGAGAAGGGGCGTACTGGCAGCTACAAGGAGCTGTGGCTCAAGCTAGCAGCAAAAACAAGCCATTCATTAAACAGGACAGACCTCACCGTTTGCGCCAAAAGGAGCGGAAACTGAGAAGATTCTGGACCTCTCAGACTTTCTCATGCTGATGGACATTCACGTGGAAGGCAAGGGCGTGGTATTTTGTTCAGCTGACGGCAAGGAGCTGGACCCTTCAGTCCAAGGCTTCCAGGATGACGAGGAATTCGATGAGTACACGGGTGTATGTCGGGCAGTTGTGCGAGCGGAGTGCGAACCGGAGGGAGAAGAACACTGGGATCGTAACTCCCTGAGACGAGTGGAGATGAACCTATACAGCAAGGCCTGTAATTCAGTTTTGCGGGAGCAGGCCCGGGCTTGCCGTGCCCTGGACAGAAAGCTCAAGCGAGACGGCATGATTTTCTCTTGGAAGCTCATGCGCAAGCAAGATGGGAAAATGAAGGTTCTGCTGAATTGGGAGGCTGCGGGTAATTGGACAAGGATTGGTCTATTTGTTGAAACGTTTAGTACCGAAAATTCTCGCTTCTACCAGTTCAGAACTACGGGGGATCTCATAAAACCCAAGCAGATCTCGAGATCCCTGGCTCGCATGTCAGCAACATGGAATTGGCCCAAAGAGAGTAGCAGTTTTGGTGCCGAAGGTGGAAGCAACTTGAGCCAAACATCTTCCCAATATGCTTGTGGTTGTGCTATAGCGGTGTGTGTTACCGACGAATGCAACGTACCAGAACTCAGAAGACTTTTTGCACATAGTCGAGCACGAGGTTCCGGACTGGCTTTGATAAAGGCTAACGAAACTGAACGAACAGTACATCAGTCTGGAGCTTAGCATCTTTACCATGCATACGCAGACGTCATAAAGAGCAGCTCTGCTTTGAGGGCCATATATATGTATCAAACTTTTATTTATACAAGCTGTCGGTTTTCGGTGGTTTCTTGACGTACCATTCAATAAACGTAGTAAACCATCTTGAGAATCTGAACTTCGCTTGTAACATTCCCAAGTCGGCCGCCTATCCCCTACCTCCTTCAATGATTAGTCGATGTCGTGGTGTCACTGTGCATGCATGACCGACTTCTTCAACATGTATGAATGTTACTAGTTAAAGTTCACAGCTGTCGGAAGGAACATTCATCTACGGCCGCCGGGCCTGCTTCATGCACTTTGATCATTGTTTAGTACTACCAAATTCTGGAATGTTGGACAACGTGGTGGGCGGGCTGGTGTAAGAGGGGTCCGATCTTGATTAGAATGTTGGATCCGACGTCGGTCATGATTAGTTACAGGGTGCACAACACATGGTAACCGTCGTTCGATCGTAGACTTACCATAGACTTTATCACACGCTTCTATTGTGTTTGGAGTTGCAAAGACACAAGTGGATAGATCAGACGACTCGATGCTTTGAATTGCCAGTGCACTGCCTACAATGAAGTTGTCGACGGTTTCATTGAGCACTTCTTAGCACGCGTTGATGCCGCTGAAATTCTAGGGAATTACAAACGTCGCCCTGGATGGCCCGTCACGTCAACATTGAATGCACACTCGCATCCATACATTAGCCTCTAATGTCCAAATTAAGGTGTCGCTTTCGTCCGTCACAGTCCTGTGAGAGCGCAGCAGCGCTGCATGCATTGCGACGTCATCGCCGTCGGGCTCTCATCCTGATCTCGTCACCCAATGGACATAATCTGGAGGAGGCCTCATGTTTTACTTAGTGGAGCATATAAAGTGCAACTGGGCACCCGGAAAAGGCAGGCTTCTGTGGTTTACGATGATCTACACGTAATCATTAATAGCAGTCGAAAGCTCCAGGTGAAACTGAGAACTTTTCAGTGACCTTCGACAGGTTCTCGTCGAACTTGCTTCTCGTAAGGCGACGTGTTAATATCCACCTAAGCAACTTTACGAAGCGTATGAACATCGTAATCGGTCCGGCAACTGTCTAATGATCTCGCATGTAAATAAGCGTAGCGGCATACTCATCGAGCACGTCTTTTGGGGTTTGCGTCAGCTAGTCTTCATAATCACTTCTTCTTTGGCTCGCAACTCTTATCATGACGTGGCTAGCTCAGGCCGGTTCTGGGCCGAGCCAAGTTTTGCCACCAGCTTATCGGAAGCAGTGAAGCTTGCAAGGGCAGTACTCGCGCCCGACGCTTGGCCCAGGTAAGAGACTCGCATGCCGCCCTTGACTCTTCCCTCCTGAAACAGAAATAACATGAGTGATCGATTGAGGAGGGCCTGGACCTTTCAATGTTCGACATAACCAGGTGACAGTCGATCGCACGCGGTCGCGCGCGTCCACTAAATAACACTCCGAAGCGCAGACGAAGGGAGACAGCCGCTTCGGAGAGCTGTTATCGGAAGAGCAAGGCCGCGGTCAGAAGGCAGGTTTGCTAAACCTCGTGAGGATCAGGTTTACAAGGTTCATTGGCGAAGACCACTCCTTTGCAAGCCCGTCGGCCTGCTTCTTCCGCCAGATTGTGTGCACAAGGGGCTACACATGGGTTTCCGTTCGCAGCGCCAAATCGCATGATTTTGAGAGCTCTAGTTGCACGTTCGAGACTTGCTTGACGAAGGATGCGGAAGCGCGGAAGACCAAGGAAACCAGGTAAAGTAGATTATATTGCAACCGTTATTTGTTTCTACCCACAAAAAGATGCGGCGGAAACGGTCAGGATTTCGCCGGATCATCGCCTACTGATAGACTCATCTACAGAGCCACTCCAGGTCCAGATTGCGCTTATTTTGACCGTGCCTGACTTGTTGGGCTGCATTGCGAATTATTCCAAGAGGCGCTGTTTTGGAGGGCGGCGCAGCCCCATCATCCAAATGGGCAACCTCGGCCCAAGACCGCATGAATCGAAAAGAAACTCAAAAGCATCTTCCCGCTTACCTCGATTGCTTGTTTGAGAGCAACGGGCGCCGTGTTGTCCGCCAGATTCCCATTCTTTGCGTGGATGTTAAAATGCCGGTCCTCAATTCCGATGTCCTTCAAGATGTCCGCGTACTGGCGCTCCATGGCAGAGTGGGTCATGACGACTTCGCCCACGTCAGCTTCCGTTTCTCCAGCCAAGGCCTGAGCACCAAGAAGATTGCATCATTTAGCGTGACGGTGATCGGATTGGATCCTTTGCTCTGCTGTCAGAACACAGAATTGGGCCGAAGCTGCTAGTGACTGTCAAACAATTCGTGTGCTGATTTATTGCGTCCCACTACCTTTTCAACCAGTAAATCATTGAAGCTTCTCGTTTTTCTCCTGGCTTCTTGAGGTGATGCGTTGATATTTGATCTTTGCAGTGACTTCAGGTAAGACTTGTCTAGCCAGGCTTTTTTACGAGTTACTCCTTCCGGAATTCAAACAAGCTCTTATCAATTCCAGCGGGGTGAAACCAGCAACCCAATACACCGTCCAGAGTGAATCAGAAACTCCAGATCTGCTACATCAGGGAACGGGCAACTTCGAAGGATTTTGATTTTTATTTGTGCCTCTGGGGCTTATTCGTGCGCGTACCTGTCTCACAACGTCTCCGAACCATCCCAGCTGTAAGGCAAAAAGCTCCGATCCAAGGCTGTAGAATTGTGCGTCTGTACTACCATCGGAAAGGTAGTCGTCCTGGCAAAGAAAAGAACTGACTAACTAACAAATACTTAAAGTACCAATCTTTCGTTGAAGAGGTGGTTCTGATTTCTTTCGAATCGAAGCGACGAGGTTGCGTTTCGATCCGGGGAAGCTATTTAATTTGGCGAACACCAGCAAACTTTGAGGACACACGTCGGAAAGCGCTTGAGGGTTTAAGGCTACATTTGGTAGTACGTCTGAAAGCGTGTCGAAATTCTTGTCCTATCTACCAAACTCAATTCTTTCATATCAGCAGAGTTTATGCGCCGCATAACTGGTTTCCGCTGCAGTGCAAACGAAAAGATGGCTGCTTACGCCCTGAGAATGTTGAATTTCCATGATCGGAAATCAGGTCAAAACACGCAAAAGAATCCGAAGTCCTCAGGCCAGTCCTTTGAATTGGACACAGCACATAATGACCTATTCTGGCAGCACGTATTGACCTATTCTAGAAGGTCTTGGGGTTGACGGGTGCGCAATTGCATCCTTTTCTTGGTCCTAATGTGCTGGCTAATCATTCAACTCCGGCCCTCTCAAGAGCAGAAGTCAAACCCGCAGCACTCCTGGTAGACGCTGGAGAAGTCCCGTGGGTTCAAGCATCGCGACCAAGCCCCGGTCCGCGCAAGTTCCGGCACTGGCAATTCCGCTCACCTTGATCTCCTGCGGAACGACGGAATCCAGCCCCAGGTGGCGCGTAGTGCTCGGCTCGTTGATCATGCAGAGTGCGACTTGTGAGGAGTCGTGGATTCGCGTGACCTTCAGCCCCCAGTCTTGTTCGTGGCCCCCGCCGATCAAAGTGACGGAAGCTGCTGAGCCGACGGTCATTCCGGCGACCTTGTAACCGATCTGGTCCCACGAGGTGATCTGCGGAACGGAGTGAAAGCTGCTGAAGTACGCGCGGAGAAGATCAGCTTTGTCACCGCAGTGGTTGTTTCGCAGTAAGAAGTTTATTGGGCAGCCGCTCTGAGAGCCTGGTATTTTGCACACTCGTGGAACATGGTCGAGAAAACTTCTACATGCCACGTTGATCCGTCTTCGTAGTTGACATCTGAAGAGGCCTTTGATTGAACGAAAAGTTCTGTAAGGATGTTCAAGACCGGCATCAAAGCTTGGCTCACCTTGTAGCTTTCCGTCAGGTATGGACAGTTGGATGAAATAGTGGAGATGAGCGCGACCTTCTTGGCGGACCCTGTCTTAATCAAGGCATCCGCAAGTTGCGCTCCCCTGTGCAGAAGGATGATTGATCTCAGATCGAACCCGAACATTTCCCTTTAGCAAGCGACTGGTCAGCAATGTCTTAGTACATTATTTGTACGGTAGGATTCTCCATCAGTCTGAGCTATGGTGAGTAGAAGAGGTGGGGCGTGCAACTTTCAGGCGAACTTGCCAATGGAGGCGGAAAAGAGGGGAAGGGATGTGAATACTGCCCTAAACATGTCACGACGTTGAAAGAGCTAGGGGGATCATCCAGAAAAGAGAGCAGAAGAGCGTCTCACAGGATTCAAGAATTGCAGGCGTCGGCGACATCAAATGACTGGGCTCGGAAGGTTCCAAGGAGGTTGGAGTAGACGGCCGCGGCCGAAGGTTCGATGACGCCTCTGACGATGCCCGTGTGTATGATGACGTCAACATCGGTACGCTGCCAGCTGGCAGAGTCCAGCGCCTGCGAGAACGCCTGCACAGCGGAAGCTGAAGGTCAGAACGATTAAAGGGCACACTCAATATCAAACTTGAATTACCATTTACATGAGAACAAAACATAGGGTATGCTCAATTTTCACTACAGTCTGACATTTTGCGGAACACCCGACGGCAAAGGGCTGCTTGTTCGGGGGACGGCGCTTTCCTTTCAGTAGCCGAGTGCTGCTGTTACTGAAGGTCTACCCTGACGCTTGAGAAGTGCCCAGACCGCTGGTTTATTCCTGCTAACTTTCCCTAAGCCATCTGGCTGGCCTGCAGTTTCATAGCTGGAAGAGAGGAAGAATCCACTGATACCGACCTCTATCAGCCAGTTGACTGGGCGATCTGTAACTGGATCTTCGGACCACTGCCGAGAGACGGAGCCCAGGTTCTTGTACAACTTCCTCAGCAGACGGGCGAGACGCGCTTCGTCTATCTCCGGGCCTCTGCAAAAGCGGAAGGGAGTATCGACTGGTTCGCAGATTACGAAGCATGGGGAAACTTTGGCGTCACTTTCTTGCTGATCAAAAGAATGTCGGAGAAGCGCTCCACTTTTGGCGACCTGGTCAGTACGCAACGCGACTTTGCGGTCGCTTGCCAGGTGCCACACAGGTTGTTCTGCGCCGCATTCACTGCCGCACTGACACTGGGGTCTGCGGTCTAGTTTGAAGCTCGAGAAAGCTAACCTTGATGCTCGATATGTGTGGAAAGCACCTGGAAATGTTGTCAAACCAAGCAAGCAGATCGGAGGCTAAACATGATGGTTTGACAGGTGATGTTCCGAGAACCTAAAGAGATTAAAGTCTTCCAGTTGTGGGCCTTAAAATACTCGAACGAAAGACTGTGCTCCGTTTTGGAAAGGAAGCTGTCAACAGAAGAACATGTCGGTTAATTTCTCACCTTCTGTCGACTGCCATCTGAACGCTGTCGCTGACGCTCACTGTCTTCTTAGGGACGTAAGACCCGAGCCCCTCAATCTGCACATTCTGGGACTGCAGACGAAAATAGAAGGACTTTTGCAAGCCAGCAATGGATTCAAACCACGCATGGGTCCTTGATGAATCATTTCGAGTGCAAGGGACTCATCCCCGGGAAACCAGCAGCATGTTACATCATGAAGGGTGACCTCAACACAGAGCTTAACCTTTTGAGTGAGCTCTCACCGCCTTTTCTCGGATGCCAGTTTTTTGATGGACCCGGGTGATGTCCTGCGCAATGATTTAGATCAAGCGGAATCATTTACCGAAATAGTGAAGCAGCTCTTTGCAACTGCAAGTTCTCACATGGGCGCTACATAATCAGTGTTTGCAGGCCTGCTAAGCAGCATATGCTCGATTTTGGAAGCTAAAGAGGACCAGAACTACATCTGTATCAACGTTCTTGCGGATAATAAACATGGGCACCACAGGAACAACCTGACTTTCTGATCAAATTTTTGAACCGAGCTTGCTTCGTCGTAGAAAACGTGTCAGTCAAGCCGGTAGGAGAACAGGGGGACTGCACTCGAAATAATTTGGAAGAGTCGACAAGCTTTGCCCTACTCGGAACAAGGAATCAGGATCCGTTCAAGTTCCTCGCTGCATAGCCAGACGACTGAAACCAAGGTAAGATGCAATCCGGGGTTAAGAGGACCTCACCTGCCAGGACTGCCCACATCTTCTTTTCGAGCCGCCAGGCCATCTGCTGCTGGTTCTGGTTGGGGAGCCACTCCGGATGACTGCAAGACCTGAAAAGTCGCTGACAAGCGTCTGCTTTGAAGAGCGATCTGCTGCAGGGTTTACCATGGGACCCAATGAAGAACCGACGCCCTGAAATTGCTGACAGCTTATCAGTGCCATCCTGCACGACTGCTGATGTAGGTCAGCAACTTCGAGGGTCCAGAATTGCCGCAAACGTGCGCCCTTCTCAGAATCTTTCTCTAGAAGAGAAGTGGGATCTGTTTACCGAGCTGTACTAGGTGTAGCAAGTTCCCTCTTGTCACCACAATTGTTTTGGCGAAGAGAAGTTATATCTGGTCTTCGACTTGGCAGTAGATCCGGCTATATTGCACAACTTGGATCACATATCTTTTTTGGATCCCCTGAAACTTACAACCATCTGGAAAGGACTCAGTGGGCGTTGATTTGCACCCCTTTTTTTACTTTTGATTTCGTCCCAGCGGGCTACAGTAGTAGTCTTGTCAGTCTTGACAACAGTCTTGACGGTAAGACCATGACTCTTGCCAAGCTACTCAACTGATGTTGCAAGTACTGTAGCCGACTAGAATTCCTCTACTCCCTCTTTCACACTACCAGCACGCTCCTTGAAAGTAACAGTGCTCAGTCACTGACAGTGACAGCTTGAGTACGGTCAACAAAGAAAAATGACCGTATCAAGACTTTTCAGTCAGACGACGCTCATGCTCGCGCAGTGCGTACGTAAGCTTCTCTTGCAGCACCTATGACGTGTACGCTTCGCGGGGCGAGATGAGGGAGATCCTATATGTATGTAGTTTTATATTGTAGTTTTACAATCTTTTTAAAAGTTTTTTTTTGCAAAATTCGCCGGTTTTTTTTTTTTTCTTTATTTTTACCCTCAAATTCGAAAAACAATTTCTCCAAAAATAAAATAAAAGAGAAGCAGTTGCTGACGTCATGCTGACGTCAGTGAGCATCTCAAATTCTCATTTCTACCAGCTTTCTACTTACTGAAGGGGCAAACCTAGGTATCGGGGGAAGGTCCCGTCCAACGGGACCAGAAGATTGTCATTTTATCCTCTGCTTAGACGCTTTTTCCACTCTGGGACCAAAAAAGCAGAGCTCTCTGAGTAAAAAATGGTCCCGTTGAACGGGACTTCAAGAACCCACGAAGACCGCTGACATTCCTTTTTGAGTCAATGTATTTATTGCACCACCGAGATGAGACACCCTATGATCTTTACGACTCAATTTGTGCTTCGACATTTGCACGACTCGCCTCTGAAAGGGCCACAAAACGTCTCGAACGCATGAGGCACAGCTTGCAAAACGTCCAGCTCAACGGGACCTTCATGTGTGCTGGTCTATGATTCATCAGCATTGCATCACAAGGTATTTATGAAGGAGTCGTACATTCTGCAGGATCGCGATTCATACACGTCTTACATCATATATCCTTTGTCCAACCTATTGTCAACACATTCTTTCATGCGTCAATTTGTCTTTAAAGCCACTCACATACCCAGGCCTATGACAACATTCATTGGACAATGCATTTTCAACAGATGTTACCATTGCCGATGCATTCTAGATTGTCCAATTCCATGCCAGTGTCAATTGCATTTCACCTCATCAGACATTTTTCATCTTCAACACACTTCCTCATCTCTCAGGCTTCTCGAACCTATACCTATACAGCGTTGCCTCTACTTTCGTAAGTCCTTCATCATGAATGCATACTCGAGTCTACCCCTATACATTCGTGCATTTGCCTTTCAAAGGTCTTTGTCTAAAATGCATTCTCGAATCTACACCTACACAATTGTGCATCTGGTTCTCAAGGTCGCAAACTCCACTTCCAACTTCCCTCACAACTCCTGCAACCAACTTCCTCTAAATCCCCTTCTTTCAAATCACCACACCAACCCCATCTACTTCGATACCTTCTTCCTTGACCTTGTCATCATCGGGGAAAGCTTCACAGGCGCTTCTTCCAGCTCCGTCGCCACTCTCTTCTCGTCTCCAACTTTTGCTTCTTTCCCCAAGCCCTTTGCCTCTCCATCCATCTCCATCTTGTCCTCTCCTGATTCATTTTCGCTTTCATCCTCTTGGTCTCTGTAACCCATCGTCATCTTGACCTTCACCCCTCCTTCTTCCACCTCCACCTCCTCATCCCACGTGATTTTGTTTGACTCCCTCTCCAGAAAGTCTCCCTTCTTCCCCCCCGCAAAGAACACCGACAGCAGATCCACTCCCAGCCTCGACAAGTATTCCGACGCGCCACCGTACTCCTCCTGGAACACAATCGCCGACGGCGATGACGCCGCCGCGTCTATGGTCTTGTCCAGCGCGTCGTTCCAGAACTCGCGCGGCAGGTCGTAGGCGTGCTCCGACAAGAGGGTGTAAGTCTGCAAAAGAAGGTTAACAACTTCTCATGTATGGTTCGATATACTGGCTGTTACTCCCGTTCAACGGGACCTTGCTAGTTGTTTCGCTTCCCCTTTCCAATCTTGGAGCGGCGCACCAGAAACCACCAGACAGAAATGCAACAGCATGGAAACAGTGACTATGCGAAACGTATCAGAACGTTGTATATACATTCGAATTTTGAACATCACATCTCTTATCTCCTTATCAAATCACAAACTTGTTGTGCCTGCATCTGAGCCACAAAATTCGACATCCATGAAGCTCATCTACATCAACTCTACCTACCACAACAGACAGTCGTGATAACAGATGTGAATTTTCAAACGAGACACATCGCATACAGTTTCCGCAAAGCTACCGGAATAAGATTACCCTCTTTCCAGACAAACGCACTCCTATTTCTCAGCTTCGAATCCTTAACCAGCCCTGTTATCGAACGAACTCATATCTCCACTATACTTACCTCCAGTTTTCCTCCCCTCTGGAACAACGGCCAGCTGCACATCTCCTCCGGTGTGCGCAGAACCCCTCCCGTCTTCTTCACCTCTCCATGTGCCTCAGCCGGCGTCCAGTACGACACCTCCATGTACGTACCGTCGTGGCCGTGCAGCCACAGAGGGTCGCCGTCCTGCAAGGTCCCTTTTAAACCATCAGATCCATGTATTTACAGTGCAACGAATTTCAAATCTTCAGCTTTGCAAGTTCTTATTGAAAATCCCCGCATCACTACCTCTTACACGTCAAATTCCCCTTTCCAATTCACCATCTATTCAAAGATGTATTTCAAATTCATGTTGGCACTAAAATTACTAAACCCAACTCCAAAAAGAATATAAAATAAGCAGTGTCAACAACGTCACCTTGTCCACCAGCCTGAAGCCCCAGGTCGACGCGTGCATCTTCTTTAGCCCCACCATCCACGCCTCCGGTAGCGCCGGCGGGGCTACCACCACAGCCACTGACCCCTTCGCCATCACCTTCTCCATTCTCTCCGACACAGCGCTCACAAACTCCTCCGCAGGCAGCCAGCGGATCTCTTTCTCAGAGCCGTCGATCTCCGCCACCTTCTTCGACCTTGGCCGCACGAAAAAGACCGTCATGTCCACCCCAGTTTTCTCCACGTCGAAAGCCATCTCCTTCTTCTCTCCGAGCTCCTTTGCGTAACCCAACGCCTCCAGGATCTCTTTCACCTTGGGCACCACTGTCACGCCCTTTGGCCCGAAGAATTTCAGGAACCCAACGCCGCTTCCTCCCTCCAACTCTTTCACCTCGTTCTCGACAGCTTCCTCTTCCTCCCCTTCTTCTTTCTCCACCTCTTCTTCTTCATCACCTGACTCGTTCGGTGCAGGCTCCTTCTCCTCCCCTATCACCTCTGGCCCCGGCTTCCCCACCCTCTGCGCCAGGTTCCTCAGTGACACGAACTGCACGAATCCCGGCTCTATCTCCGGGTCCGTCCTCTCTGCCGGAATGCACTTCGGCAGAACACCCCCGGAATCGTTTTCCCAGCCCACCCCCAGGACCACCGTCGCCTGCAACGAAAGAGGCCCGTTCCCCAGCCCGTCCGTCACCTCTTTGTCCTTCCAGTTTTTCTTCCCCGGCCGCTCGCCCTCGAACAACGCCTTGATCTCCCACTCCGCGAAGTAGGTCTGCTTGTCAGCGGACCACTTCAGCTCTGCGCCTGCTGCCGGTTCCAGACCCGCCCAGTCCATGGCGTGTTTTTTCACCACTCGGGGGAGGCCGGAGTAACCCCACTCCGCCATCGTCTTGAGGGAAGACTTGTCCTCGATGTCTGTGGGCAGGTCAGACAGCTGCAGGGGGAAGCAGCTTCGGAAGTACCTGTTATTGAAAAAAAACAAAGGTTAAAACTTGGTTTCGTGTGGCGATTCAATATGGTTTTGATACTAACGTAGAACTAGACACCAATCAACCTGGCTCTTTACTGATAACCAAAGCCTCCCGGTGCATTTCTGAACCCCGACCGTCGCTAAAAGATATTCAAACAAAAGTTGGCGCTTTTGAAAGGTCCCGTTCAACGGGACCTTTTGAAAACAGGCTGCATAAAAGCGACTTTTGCCTGTGCCGGTCCTGACTAGCAATCTCGTTACTAGCAAATCTCTAGTGGTCATTGATTGAGTCTTGTTTTTTCCACCTGCTACTCTCCAGGCTTTACTTCTGAGGCATCCTATCCAGATAAAGAAGGTCCCGTTCAACGGGACTCAAACTAACCATTCTGCATTGTCTTTTTCTACAGATCCTAAGTGGTTTGTGGCAGGAACATCATTAAAAATAAAAGCAATGATAATTCGAATCAAGCCTGGTGTAAATAACGCAAGACCCTTTCGCAATGTCACTTCACACAGTTCAGCACAAAACACAGTTTAATGATCTGTTTACAGCACCCTTTCCAAATTTGCAGGACATTAAATCTATTCAGAGCAGCGTTTCTCAAATGATTCAAACTTCCAGCCTTCATTAAAATGTGAAGAGCCACAATCACATCGGGTTTTGACATGTAACCTTGCAATCTGTAAAAGGTTACTATTTCTTGTGTCCAAAAACGATGTACTTTTGTACAGTTCAAACAGAAAAGGTCCCGCTCAACGGGACTTACTGAGATCAGCTGCAATCGAGCACAGTCCAATACAGCACAAATATCTCTTATGTTCTGAAAAATGTGAGGTACGAAAGTCCCGTTCAACGGGACCATTCAACAGCAGGTTAGATCAGTCTAAAATCGCTTTTCGAATCTGACTCAGCAAAAATTTTACAAAGTGGACGGGGCTTTCCACAACTGTCTAAGTTTCGTTTACAACTATCAGTGTGACGATTCTCTGAGAAAAAGATCCGGAATTTCTGCCTTGCAAAGCTACCTACGAAGTCGCGACAGCAAACAGAAGGAAACTCAGAACAGAAACATCCGATACTTTTTTGGCAAATTGATTAGGGCAAAACTTTCTTGCTGCACTCACAGCACCAGGAGACGCCGCCACATGCCCTCCAGGCACTTGGCCTTTCCACCATCCTTCATCTCCTTGTTCAGCATGGACTTGAAGGACAGACCCTTCTGCCCCATCCACGCGAACGGGTGCTCAAAGACGGAGGAGTAATCCCCCTCGATGAGCGTCTTGATCCAGTCCCAGAGGGGCATCTTGTTTGCCATCAGCCCTGCCAGCGTCTTCCCTTTCCACTTCCCCATCTGTCCAGGCAGCCGATCCCCCGGCCTCTTCTCTACCAGCTTCTGCTCCTCCAGCCAGTCGACTGCCAGTTCCCCCGCCACCTGGAGAGCCTTCACAGACGTGAAGAATGGATCGAGCGAGTCCTTTGTGAGCTCCAGGCCTTTCTTCTGCAGATCGGCCCTTCGCAGCTTCAGGTGCCCCAGCACTGTCACGTCCAGGAAGGCTGCCAGGTTCAGCTCCTTCAGGGTAGTGAGAATCTCCAGGTTTGTCAGATCTCGGCTGAGCTCCGGCAGCTCCACCATCTTCCGGATGTCTGCCTCCCAGTAGTTGAACCCCACTCCATCCCTCTTCTCAAATCCGGCAGCGGAGACCTGCTTCCGCATCTTCCTCTGCTCGATCTCGATCACCGTCTTCTTCTCCTTCTCCGTCCAGAACCGGCCCAGGTCCTCCCCGGTTTTCAGGTCCGTGCCAAACTGGAAGTCGAGCAGCTTCTTCAGGAGGAGAGGCTGCTCCATGAAGACGAACACGAGGACATTGTGCCGGCAGGCGTCGGCCTTCTTCTTCCTCAGCAGGTTGATGTTCAGCTTCTCCTTCAGGAGCGCCATCGACTGCGAAATAGGATAGTAAGAGGGTTACAACTTTTGGAGTTCACAAATTCCAGCAGATCATGTTTGAAGAATGATATATGCACAGAATGATTTCTTTTTCACAGCTAGCATATGCTCTGATCTGTGCGAGAATCACCTTCGCGAATGAAATTCTATTTCAAAGTGACACTGATGCAGGAGTCTACGAGTTCAATCTAGCGAGATAATGAGAAAGGTTGCTACCAAGATCGAAATGCATCACAGTGCGACTCTATCAAACGCACTGCAAGAATCAAGGAACAAAATCTTGGCTCAATCCTGTCGAATTTTGTTTAACTTTGATAACGTACCGATGCTGGAATCCACTTCTTCACCTCCTCCGTCTCCATCCTGTTCTTGTCGTGCAGCAACGCCAGCTTCTGCAGCGGGGTCGTAACGACCTTTGCGTCCAGCTCCGACTTGTTGATCTCTTCTGAGAGGAGAGCGATCTGGCGACAGTTCTTCTCGATTATCTCGAACACCACCATCCGGGGTCGTGGAACTGTCTTGATGATGCCCACAAGCTTCTCGATCGCAGCCACCCAGCCTTCCTCTCTGCAAAATACGATAACCTCGGATCAAGAACTCACAAAACCGGTATTGTTTATTGAAAGCCGTTGTGACTGATAAAGTTGCTGTATGTGAAGATTCAAATGTTCAATTGATAGACAATTACCTTGGATGTGCCAAGAAAAAAGGTCCCTTTCAACGGGACTATCTAACTGGCAGACCGTCAGACCATTAAACCGCTTCTTAATTGAACTTCCAATCTTTAAAAGTCCACTCAAAAAGGATCCAGGCTCGATCCAGCCCCTGTAAGACTGATACTTCATCACCTCTATCACTCCGTTTGAGGATTGAGAATGAAACCTTGTTTTACCACATTGCAAACCATTTATGCCTGGAGCAAAAAAAGCTCCAGCTCCATCTGCAAAGGTCCCGTTCAACGGGACCTTAACTTGTTTGAAGTTGTAACCACAAATCAGTTCTGAAATGAATTGCAATGTATATCAAAACCTGAACCAGAGGCGCCTTTCATTTGTTAGTTAATCTACAGTTGCCGAAGGACTCCCGTTCAACGGGACCTTTTCATGCCGCACGAAGGGCACCGATGTGCATTGATGCCAAGCACATGGCATTGAGCCTGGCTGAGTTCTTTTAGGGTGTGGCCTTGAGTTCTGTACACCAGTCTTGAAGGGAGTTTTCGACCACAATGCCTTGCCAGAAGTTGCATGTATGAAATCACAGGTCCCGTTGAACGGAACCTTTTGCAGAAGCTTTGGCGCCATCGGTTTCACTACAAAGTTCGAGTACTTATTTATTGCAGAACATGGATGACGTTTTGTTTAGACAAGGTCCCGTTCAACGGGACCTTGCCGAACCACTTTAGTCATGAGTTTTCGTGACATCCTAAACCTGACAGGTCCACTACAACCAACCTTCAGCAAACAGCAAACAAATGGGAGTCTATTGCTGCCGAAGGACTCCCGTTTAGCGGGACCTTTTCATGCTGCAAGAAGGGCAACGATGTGCATCGATGCCAAGCAAAGGGATTTGAGCCTGGCCGAGTTGTTTTAGGGTGTGGCCCTGAGTACTGTACACCAGTCTAGAAGGGATTTGATGAAAAATTTACCTTGCCAGAAAAGTTGCATGTATGAAATCAAAGGTCCCGTTGAACGGGACCTTCTGCAAACTCTTTGGCGCCAACAGTTTCGATTCTGTGTTTGAGTTTCGATCTCTGTAGAACATGGACGACTGTCTGGACACGCCAGGTTCCATTGAACGGGACCTTCACCAACTGAAGACACCAAAGTGTTGCATTCAAAGTAAGAAATTGAAGTTATCTATACCATGACTGGTCACCTGGTGTTGCCGTCTGCCAGGAAAAGGAAATGGTACAGGATGTGCGCCCCGATCCACTGGTAGAAAGGGTCGTTATCCACCACCCCCCGCTTCACCACTAAGGCTTCCCATTCCTCCAGGTCCTTGCGGAGAGGCTCGCACATGGCTTCCCTGTCCACGTCCGTTATCGGCTTGATCCAGTCTCCAAACGCGGTCGCCGTCCCCACGAAGTACCCCTTGTTCGGGTCGTACCCGTGGTTGTTGAAGACGTCGGTTTGCAGCCGGATAGCCGCTTTTGTGGGGACCCGCTCCGAAATGCGCACCCTCTCAGCCAGCGGCTCAGACGGGGGCCTCAAGACTGGCAGCTCAGAGGCGGGTTTGCACATCGCTAGGGGGACCTCTATGCAGCCGTCGTGTACGTCGGGGTGTTTGTGGAACCGCTTGGGGAGAATGCTGATCTTGTTCACCTTCACCGTCACCTTCCTTGCCTTCTCTGCCGCTCGCGCATTTTCAACGTCGACAGCCGACATCCCCTTGCTCTTTCGACCCTTCTTCTCCCCCGAGTACTTCGCCATCACCTGATCGAGCCCAGCGGCGTCAGGCTGCAAGATAAGAACAACAAGATACTATTTTAGATCAATCAAGCTGTTGGCAACAGCAGTTCAGTACCAAACAGATTTTGACATTTCAATCTATAAAGAAGTTCCTGACATGTTCTAAGGTCC